AGTTTCGGGTCGCAGGGTGCTTACGCTGACGGGGCGCGCGGGGCGCATCAGCGTGTTTGGACGGTTCGGGGTGGTTTTTGGTTGCTTACGTTGATGGGGCATGTGAGAGGTGCTTCTGTGATGGGGTGTGATTTGGATTGCTTCCGCTGATGTGGGGCGTGTGCCTCTTCCTTCGCATTCTCGGCCATGGCCAGGTTCGCCTGCATTGCGGTCACGATCCTCTCATGCCGGCCTGCAGAGAACGCGATCCCGGAAGTCGCACCTCAGCCTCCTCTGCGCGGTGACGCTCCGCCTGCCATGAGTCAAAGCACCGACGGCCTCGAAGTTGCAAGAACCTGCTCCACCGTCCTCGAGCAAGCTCTCGTACTTTTCACGCTGCTCCTGCCATCGGGACGACAGCGCAGGCCTACTGACACGCTGCTCGTGTTCCCGCCCACATGCCGCGGCCCCAGCCTGCAACGTCTGCGCATTCGCTCGCATCGCTGCCTGCTTGTCATTGTCTACTGAACGTACTGCGGTGTGCTGCGACAAATCAACTCAACGCCCAAGAATAACAGACCGGGCCATGCTAGCCTCCAGGGTGGTTTGTTGCACTTCTTTGTGCTCCTTCACGCAGAGACATTATGCAGGAGCGGGTACCGCAAGTTGCAACAACCTGCATGCTCCGGCGTCCTCGAGCATACCCTCGTAGAGCTCACGGAGCTCCTGCCAGCGGGACGACAGACAGCACAGGCCCACTGGCGCGCTGCTCGTGCTCCTGCCCACATGCCACGGCCCCTGCCTGCAAGGTCTGCGCATGCTCTCGCATAGCTGCCTGCTTGTAACTGTATACTGAATACTGAATGTACTGCGATGTACAACGACAAACCAACGTCCAAGAAACAGACAGGCCAATTCTGTGCCATGCTAGCCTCCAGGGAGGCTTTTAGCACTTCTTTGTGCTCCTTCACGCAGAGACATTATACAGGAGCGGGCACCGCAAGTCGCAACAACCTGCATCTCTGCCGTCCTCGAGCATACTCTCGTACTGCTCTTGCTGCTCCTGTCATAGGATACTGTTGGGCGCCCGTGCTCCCCCTCCACTGCCCCAGCCTGGAGGGTCTGCGCATGCGTTCGCCTCGTTGCCTGCTCGCGTCTGTATGTGCGAGGCACCCCCGAAACCCACGTACTGACTGCACTGCGACAAGTAACAGTAACTTCCTACGACAAAGATAGTACATACCAGGCCATGCTGCACCATGCTAGCCTCCAGGATGGCTTCTTGGACTTCTGTTTGCTCCTTCTCACACACAGACAATTAACATCAAGCAACTGGAGTGTGACACATCGTGACACTGCATTCATGAACCCATGGGAAGGAAGAGACAGTAGTTGGTACCACATGAGGCGAGGAGCAACTTCTGGACTGCGCATGAGCGCGCGATTGAGACTTTTCTAGATTCCATTTCTTCTGCAGATCTTTTGGGCCTTTGCCGCGCGCACGAATGCACCCTAGATCCCAGCTGTACGACTTCGACACCACGCATCCAACCAGTGCTAGAACGCCTGCACATGCTTACAATCTGAAGAGGCAGCATGTCCGGAAGCATGGCATCGGTCAGCCGGGACTCGGTTCCGAGTGCATGCGGTGAGGGAAGCCCAGCATTGGGCTGGTCTCGCTGCTGGCCCTAAAACCAAAAGATCTGCCTCTGCTGCCTCTCTCAGACATCGCAACCGACACTGACCCATCATGACTGGCAAACTGCACAAACCTGAAAACTGGCCCAAGGCAAAAGGGCACGTCCTTCGCCGGAGCTGCCTTCTCATCTTGCTGCTCCTCAGCGGCTTTGGCAGCATTGTGTCGCACTGAAGTCCCCGACAAGACACGGCCGCATAACATGAGGGCATGGACACATGATGCGAAAAGCCATAGCTGTTGCAAGCACCGGCGCGCCTTTGATGCCAGCACTGGCGCATCCTAAAAGCAGATGAACAGACGGGAATCAACCTTCCTGTGGGTTTCAAAGAGAAAGAAATAGCAAGCACGATTGGCGAAACCAAGCAGCGCAGACGGCACAGAGGGCAAAGGGAATGATGCTGTGAGTCTGTGGAACGATTGGGCTGTTTTGGACCTGGAAGGTCCATCCCGATCATATGCTATCGTATTCATTGCGACGGTCCTGGCCAATCGCCCTTGCAGCCAAGAGCGTTGGAAGTGACCTGAGCAAGGGAAACTAGCTTGGCAACGTTTGGGCCGTTTGGGTCATGTGTCCGAGACAACCCAAACGTACACGAAGCCTCTGGCTCAAGCGTGCTGGGACCTCGCTCCATCTGAGCGGATGTCAACGGCGGTGGCCTTGCCACCTCGCTATGTCGAAGCTCGCTGATCAGGCGGTCAGACGGCGGTCAACGCCGAAGCACAGGCCTTCGGCGGGGTTTCGAAGCGCTGCGAGCTCGCTGCCTGAGCAGAGCACTGCACAGGTCACAGGACATCCGGAACACCGAAGGGCGCCACATCCACAACACTGGAAAAAATCGCTGTCGGAGCGTGGCTCGCGCGTGGAGGTCTACAGCCCTGACCTCAGGGCCGCAACATTCCTACATCACGGGAATCATGGGTGTCTACGCATGCGTGTGAATGCCTGTGCAGGTGAACCATAAACTGAAGATTGAGCCTTGTCATGTAGCATGGAAATATACATATTTGTCTGTGTTTGCGGGATGGAAAAGTCGATTGAGCCCGGAACGCGGGGCGGTGTTGCAAACGGCAACCCGCTCCGAGCTGGCACCTGAGGCAACAGATTTCGCCATGCGGGCCCCGCAGAGGGTGCAAAGCCCAGGAGGACAGCAAGGCGAGCCGATGTTGGTAAGGCCGGTGCATGCCTTGGCACGGCGCACGGAGACCCCACCTCACTAACTGGAGAGCTGAGGAGCTCGAGCGATGTGTCCAGCGCTACTCTGCAACAGGCGAGGGCCCCGGCCGAAGTCGGGGCCGGCGGAAGACTGGGATTTAACGTCACGACACGCCGCGCGCCGTGAACTGAGCAGTGGGTCGTTTGCGTGAAATGAATCGACCCTCGCATCTGCCAAGCACAATGCAAGCTCCGACGACCCCTGCAGCCAGGCAGCTTTCCCGCGTGACCTGGCTCATAGCAAGTGTCACATCACATGCACACGTGAAGCATCAACGGCACAAGGCTCGAGGGAAGTAGGTGGTTCATGGTGGTTCTGGCGTCTGCCGGGCCTTTGTCACCACCGCGCCCGTCTGCGTCTTGACGAAAACAGGCGGCCTCGAGGGCGCGCTTGCCGACATCCGCACATCGGAATTCCGAGGTTGAGACGCCCCCGGGCGCTTTGGGAGAGCAGTTTGATTGCAAATTCCGAGGCCAAGGCAGAACTCGAGCGGGACCTGAGTCTGCGCGCGCGGGCGCGTTTCCGAGCCACGCTCGTGCACTCCCTTTCCACTGCCCTGCACTGCTCTCTTGAACCATGCCGCAATCGTCTGGGGCACCAACTGACCTCGCGGCTGACCTGGACTTTGGTACCAGCAAGGAAATCAAACAACGAAATGTGGGAGAGGGGGGCAGGAAAATAGCAGGAACCTGAAGTAGTTCGCTGAGCGTCGAGCCACCCGCACTCGTGAGGTCACCATGGGGACGAGGTGCCGCCAGCTACTGCCTCCACCCTTCGAAAGTTGGAGCCGGCAAGGCTTCGGCGAAGCACCATGGCAGTGCGTTGGTTCATGTGACCTTCCCAACTCGCTTCTTGCCGACTGTGCTCTCGTGTAAAGCACAATTAATCTGCTTCCCAGCACTTCCCAGTCTACAGTAGGTTGAATGCCCCAGTTTGCGTCTTACGAACTGCACTTCGCCAGCAGGGGTCCGATTTTTGGGTTCTGCTTGGCGTCTTGAGAAGTAAAAGGTTCGCTAGGTTGGGCTTGGTTTACGCTCTCGGTTTGAGGGCTTCGAACCGCACAGCTTGCGCAATCCGGGCGAGGGGGTTCGCGAATAGACCTTCGACAAGGGTTTGGGGCGACGAAACACCAGTCAGCACTAAGTCACACAGCCGGAAGCCTTGGTACTGCATGCTTCCCCAAGCCAAGCTACACAAGAGCGGACTGCAGACGGCCACAGCACGCAAAGTCGGCACCGCCCAATTGCTTGGCCAGATAGGCGACATATAAAATTGGTGCGGTAGCTGCTTGGGCAGACCCACAACATGCAGAGTTGGCGCGAGCTGTTCGGGATTTTGATTTTGGAGCCGCATACCAAACGAACCGCTGCGCGGCTGCGCGCCCTCGGGAGACGAACCCACAGACACCTCGGCGAGCAACCGGAACACATATTAACAGCCAGTATGTCTGCATGTCGACCAAAAGGAATTTTACTGAAATTCTGAGTCGCGCGGCCAAGAGAATCAACGAATATTTAACGAACGCAGATCTCGTTGTTAATACACTGGAGACGGTGTGCCCTATCATCGCGTGCGAAAACCGAAACTTTTTGGCAACTCGATTGCAGATGATAGCAGGTCGGCATCAGTCTTATGCTCGCGCCGGTGTGGCTTCCAGTAGCCCGCGCCCTGTCCTTGAGCAAATCCTGCTGCGCAACAGTTTAGGGGGCGAGTGAACAGTGAAAAGAAAATGAAAGCGATCGATGATATTATGGTTATAGTAGTATACACTCCAATGAAAAACTATAATATTAGAGCAGTGCCATAATAATAATTGTGCGTGTCTGCCTCGTCATCAGAAGAGCAGGAGCAACCCTGTGTGCAACACACCGAATCACATGCATGCCAATCTGAAGTTGAGCTCGAGCGGCCGAAATGCAGCATCTTCAGCATCCATGGCAGGACGCAAGCCACAGGACGCTGGAGCAAGGTAATAGAACATACGTACTCTTTCCGCTGCGCAGGACAAACCTGTGATGCATCAATCTAGCCACTCTGAACCATCCATGGAAGCATGACGGCCGATTGGCGGATCTGATGTGTGTACGGCTCAAACACGGCGTAACAAACTGGGGGGAGCAAGCAGGCAAGCTGCGCTGAAAGCAGCTGATGGCCACACGCCCAGCTTCCACAGGGCCACCAACCCAGAGAAAACCCAGTTTGTTCGTTTGCACCTCTCTTTCCTCAACCCAGATAGATCTCACTCAAGGAAAAGACTGCAAACTCCGACAACGTATTCCGATTCAGGCTGAACGTGATTGCATCCTGCCGCCAGCCATGCATCGCATCTCTTGACGTCTCTCTGCAAAGCGCAGGTCTACAGGCACTAGTCAAGCTTGCTTTGAACTAGCTGTCGGCCATGCGAGCCCGCGAAGGAGCTTCTGGAGCAGATATGCTCCAGGCACTACGTCTTAGCCTATGGCAGCGGGAAGAAGGACGGATCCTCATACTTCTCCGGCCTCGGTCCAGGATTGTCGCCCGACACGTTGCAAGCCCGTGTTCTGAAATTCTGTACTGTGACAAGCAGCGTGTGAAGAACACGCTCTCGTGGTGGAGGCCAGGGAGGATCTGCCTCGTCGTGAGCCGGAATGAGCCGGATCAGCAAATTTCCGACAGGTCTGCCGGACCCTGGGGGCCGGGGGGCGGCGAGCCTCACGCGTGGAGACGAAGACCCGCTTCGTCACCATGTCAACATCCAAAATCTTCACTGCCACGTGCTCTCCCACCTGGCAGCTCCACAGATTTGGAGCATTCAGCACGATGCCACTACTCGAGGAAGTTGCCTGCAGCTGTGCAGGATCAGACGAGCTCTGCAGGTCCTCGCAGAAGCCACGGATCCGAGAGTCCTTCGGCATAAGTTTCCACACGTTTCTCCCGCACGACCGTGCAAGTGTGAAAGACCCAAAGATCTCGCAAATCCTGGGAACAAGCTGACCACCGCGTGTCCTCACCAAACTTGCCCATGGCCATGCCATTGACAATCAAGCCTGCGAACTCTTGCGATCCGCTTCTATCTCAAAATGCGGTGATGTGCGCGACAAGGCGCCGATAAAGCTCCCGTAGGGCCTCACGGGTGCAACACTTTGCAAACACCTTCCCGCTCCAGTGCACGCAACGAGGCGGTGCTTGCCTGAGCTCCTGAATGACACCACGGACGGTTGCGCCGATGGGTAGGAAGTCTACGAGTGCCTGCCAAGGGAACAAAGCCGTCAGCAAAGGCGCGACAAGTGTGGCAGTCACATTATGGACCTCTTCCCATGTCAGTGGCCGCGGCTCTCCCTCCCTGTCCTTTGCAGGGAGGGCGAAGAACTCCTGCAAGCTTTCGCGGGCACATGACGCAGGAAGAGATTCTATCAGTCCTTCGGTTTGTCTCTTCTGCCAGCATCCTGCCAGATCGCGCGTTGCGCAAAAGATTTTGCGCGTGCACACAGGGGCATTAGATTTCATTCGTCCTTCGGCCCAGCTCGCAAACCGTCGGTCTGCACAAAACGTCGTGGCTGCGAGCGCCTGCTTCTTGCAGAATTCAGAAATTCAGCTTTCATGTGCAACTCCCTTCCGCGACTAAGACCCAAGCTGGACGGGAGGCTGCGGAGGCAGCGGAGGCAACGGCGACTCTTCTGACCCAAGCTGGACGGGAGGCTGCGGAGGCAGCGGAGGCAACGGCGGCAACGGCGGCTCTTCTACGGGCGGTGGTGGCCAAGCGGACTCCTGCTCCTGCGACAAGGTCAGAGAGGAGTTTGGTTTGCCGGAGGTTGCTTAGTGGCTGCATGCAGAAAATGCAACTCCAAGACAACTCCGAGTCGAAGTCGGGCCGGCCTTTGGTTCGACCTCGCGCTCGATGCTTGGTTTTTTCGACAAAGGCGGCAAAGGCGGCAGCGGTGGCAGAGGCGGCAAAGGTGTCGACGGCCTGAATTTACAGGCACGAGAGCTACGCAGCTATGCGCAAGGAAACAGCCATCAAAGGCGCTGGCTCAGCTTGCAAGTACATCGAGGACGTTCTAAAGGATGACGCCAGTGGCCGCCCTCTCGCGGATTCAGTGCACAGGCAGCGGGCAAGCACAAAGGCAAAGATCTTCTTCGCACATGGCCTACTAGTGTGAATGCTACGGGAGCCACGGCCAGCAGCATCAGCGCGATGCTTTGTACCTGGACAGCAAACAGAAAGCGGACAATGCGGGACACGGGCATGGACACGCTTATGCACTGCGCGCCCTGTTCCACCGTCTTCTCCGCTTCCTGAATTGTGAGTTCATGGATTCTTCACAGGTCGCCGCAATGCAAGTACACAAATTACGCTGGTCCTCGCAGGGCCCAGCCCACAAGTGCCGTGTCTGGGATGGCCTGCCACCATGCAACAGGAGTGAAGGAACGAGACGCTGCAGGCAATTGTCAGAAACGCCTGGGAGTTCCCGAACATCTGCATCATCTGCTTCCAGCTCAGATGTCACCATGTCGGACCTACACCCACCTGGTTTTTGCCCTCATGTTGGTCGAAACTTCCGATGCTGTTCGTAGCGGTACATCATAACTTGGACTTGGATGGATGCAAAGGCTGCGCGTTCCAAAAGGGCTGTCATACGTAACATGCTGTGGATCAGTTCCTACCCCGAACAGGGAACTTGACATTCGCAGGTGAATGGCAGTACTGCAGATGTCACTGTCCACGACGGTCGGGCCGGGTTCTGAAAGTCTTCAGGCCAGCCACGTTTTTCTGTGCTGGACTTTGCCAGGAATCAATGTCTCAGCGCTGTCGCTGAACGTGCAGTTGCGCGAAACTGCCCTATGCCTATGCCACTGAAATGGCCGCATGCTGTTGTGCTACGACGGATAAACAGTGGTTGGCTCACAAAGCGTACTGGAGGCACCTCGCAGCCCGCTGCGTGACTCCTATGCAGGCCGAAAGAGCACTGAATGTGCCATTCGGCTGGCCATCTACGACCACAGTCCGAACCAACTCTTCACCTCGTTGTGGCGCTGAAGATTGTCCAGATGGCTCTCAATCCTTGGTGGTGGCTTTTGAGAGTTCACCCTGCCTGTGCTGAGGTCTCAGGTATTGGCCGACTGTGCAGGTCCTGAAAGCTGTAGGTCCTGACAGTGTCAAGAAAGGACTCCCTTACAGGGCCGCACAGACGCGGTCCCGGTCCTGCCCGGGCTTGATGAAACACCACGAGCCTGAGCAAACCGTGGGGTCTCGGGGGTGCGGCGTGGCTGAAGTCCCTTCCAAATTCGTTGTCGATGCAAATCATTGGTCGTGTCTCGACAGCGGAGAGCGCAGCGAAAACAAATTCAACTGCAACTACACTCCGCAGTGATGCACTGTTGAATGGTGCAACATCATCGGCAGCACAAAATTCGTATGGCATGGCAGGCCTTAAACGATAGAGAAGCCAGTCAGGCAGATATGAAAAGAGTAAACAAAACAACAGATTTATCAGCAGCTCACGAACACAGACAACAAGCACCGTCCTGACGAAGAAGAGAACTAAGCAACTAACCAGCACTAACTGCTACTGCTGCTGCTGCTAGTACTACTACTACTACTACTACTACTACTACTACTACTCCCAGTAATGGTAAGGCAAAGTAGTAGGACCGGGTACTGTAGCTGTTGGTGGTGTAGTTGTCCATGTTGTTGTTGTTGCTGGTGGTGAGTTGCAGTTGCCGTTGCTATTGCTGTTGCCGTTGCTGCTACTGTCGCTGTTGTGCTGCTGCTGCTGCTGCTGATGCTGCTGCTGCTGCTGCTGCTGCTGCTGCCGCCGCCGCCGCCGCCGCTGCTGCTGGCCCCTGCCAACATCGTTGCAAGTCTTTCCGGTACGGCATATCAAGACAGATGCTGCATTCTGTGTCGCTTCCGGTTTGCCGTCGGATATTCGCTACAAGCCCATGTGCCCACCCGGTTGAAGTTTCCAGAACATGTTCGCGCCCTTCACATCGTGGCTTGCAGGCAAGGGTCATGCAGGTCCGCCCGACGCAAGTTCGCACCTCTCTCATGAGGACTCTACCCTGGATGCACCCAAAGGGCTCCAAGGCGTCACTGGCCTGGGTCGCTGCCGAGAAGTCTGCTCGGGTAAAGCACGCGCTCCTGCACAACAACGTCCACGAATGAAGAGGATACTCAAGGAAGGCCAACTATTTTCCAGATCCTCCAATTGCTGTGACAAGGTGGCATCTTCGTCCGCTGCCTTCTTGGCGGCCCAACAGTTGAACACCCACACATTGTGCACTCTGGCAGCTCAAGCCTTGAGCACTGAATCCTGGATGGCAAGGACCTGCAGAGCTATCAGGGAATGGCGATGGCTTCGGATCAGCTGCAGAAATGCAAATGAGCGCAGGAGGGCCTCTTCTTTGGCCTGTGCGATAGGGTTGCTCTCCTGTGCGCTGCCAGCATGAGCTAATGCCGACTTACATAGCCGGAAGGGTTCTGGGCCTCGAATGCCAGCTCCTCTCGGATGCGGGAGAGGCCGCAGTCGTGCTCATCAAGCCGGTGCCTCTGACTCCAAGTCATTCTCTCGGAAGATGCGGTGCGAAATCGTCTACGTTCCGCCTTAAGCTCTGGAGCTCCTTCTCCAAGGCCTGGATGTGGCGCTGCTGTGCTGCCACGGCCTGAGGGTCAGCTCAAGGGATCTTCAATTTCTTAGTCGGCCATGATCGGCCATGCCTCGCTTGTGGTCTTCAGGTCCGCTCGCCGCGTCCCCTTGCACCATGAGGGCAATCCCTTCCTCTTCTTTAGAGGAGGCTCCCAGTGGCGCGGGGTAAACCGCGCCTCGGCCTTCACCTTGGCCTGGTGCGTCAACGCCAGCTTTCGGCCATGCTCGTCCTGTCGCTGCTCGGCTCGGACTCATGGCCACTCGCGTCGCGGGTGGCTCGTCCACTCCTGCGCCTTCCGCAACCTCAGATGGCGTCTGCTTTACTCGAAACTTCTAGGCATCCCTCGGGTCAGCGCCGCTCCACTGTCTGCATCTTCACTTGCTGCAGCTCGGCACGCACCTGGCTGGGTGCGGTTCACTGTCACAGGACGGAATGCCCAGCAGAGAACCCCTCGGCACCAGCTCTCCGTTCTCCTTCTCCTGCGTCAGCCTAGACCTCAACCTCAAGCGTGGGCAGACAGTACCACAGGCTTCACATGTGTTCAAAGCATTGCCCGCGTGCATGCGTGTGTGCAAAGCAGACGTGCAGGCGGACAATGCCGACCATGCATCTGATGCACGGCCTGTTAAGGCATCATGACCTCGCATGTGAAGAAAAGCTCTAGAATTGTCGCTGATCCCAGCGCGCGGGCACATTCTAAGAACCCGCTCGTGCATAGTATGCTTGACCACCACTGCCGAGCTTTAATCTCGAACTCGTGGACCTCCAGCCCGAAACCTAGAGCCCAGCTGCAGAAACTCCTATAAGCCGAGGATTTGACTTCGAATTCTCTTCTTTCAAGACGCTGTGCCGTCCTGCGATCTCGCTGCCCAGCTCGGCCTGAGGCCGACGCATCCGGAAATGTCCCGATCAGCATCGACCCCGTCTCTTCTACTTTCATGCCAACATTCAACCAAGACTAAACGCGACCAAGAAAAAGCCTCTCATAGAAAGCTACGTGCGCCTGCTCGTGTTCGCCATTAATTTTTTAGCACTCACACTCGACAAAGCAGGCGAGGCTTCAGTACACCACTCGCCATTAATTACCCTCGATTGATAGACATCCAGACACTTGTAAGAAACACACGTGACCACAGGTATATATGAATACCGAGATACATATTCAGACAGGTGGGTGACTGAACACAAGCAAGCACAGTACAATGGTATGGTATCGCGTGATACATAAGCCTGCGGCATGCACTGTCCCTTGTTACGATGTGTAGGACCAGGGCTAGGTGGATAACCTGTCAGATGTTGTTTCCTGCCGGGCACGGTATTCAGCCCGACCGGGTTGTGTTGGATAGGCCAGGCAAGGCTTTCTAGATGGGCGAGGTGTCCTGTTCGAACACTACATTTTAAAAAAACAAAACATGATTCTACTGTAACCGCAAACTAACAACCTTCCTCCCACCTTCCTTGTACACCGAGGAAGGACTACAACTAAGTTGTACCGAAAACCCACGTTCAGCAACATTGCAGAATAACGAGGCAAAGCCTTTGCTCAACAGAACGCTCAAGATAGCTCCGATGCACAATAGAGACGATCATCCGTGCAACGGGCTGTTTATGTGTATGGGTACATGATGATATAGACGGTCTATATACATAAAGATAGAGAGAGAGAGAGAGTGGAGAGAGAGAGAGAGAGCGAGAGAGCGAGAGCGAGCGAGAGCGAGCGAGAGCGCGCAAGCAAGCAAGCAAGCAAGCAAGCAAGCAAGCAAGCAAGCAAGCAAGCAAGCAAGCAAGCAAGCAAGCAAGCAAGGTGGACACACAATTCTTGCTTGCTCTCTCTCTCTCTCTCTCCTTCTCAGGCTCTCTCTAGGTTGAGGCAAGACATATTTGTTAGAGACTTAGTAGTCTGCTTGCCGATGGTTTCACGTACATTTGTGGTTTCTGGCTGCTTTATGCACGTGGCCCAAGGTTCCCTGCGCCTCCAGCTTGCCCATCTGCTGCTTGAGACTACCGACCTGCATAGCGGTCGGAGTGGGCTCCCGATTTCAAGGCCAAGCAGCCACACCTCTGCCAGCATTTTGCTTCGAAGTTCGACGGCCTTTGGAGGCTCTGACGAAGCTCTACATGCAAAAAGTGCCAAACTGCAGGAAATCTCCCGAAAGAAGGGGCAAGGTAAGAGACTACGCCCGCCTGCCGCCACCGCTTCTTCAGGTCCGCAAGCTCAGCCTGTCAGAAGCCCCAGGCTCATCGCCAGACTTGCAACAGCTGTTGAGACACAGATGCACCCGCTCCTTCGCCGCATTCAGCTCACTGTCTGCAGAACTCGCGCGCGCTGCTGTGCGGACCTGGTTTCACCGTCGACGAAAAGCAAAGCGCAGAACCGCGGAACCTCCCTTTGCGGGCGGCGTCCCTTCTGCACGCCGTTTTCTGGCGGGAATCCTGTCGCTTTTGGTCTCCGCGGCTCCGGCCTCTGCATCGGTTGCCGCGCGGCGCCTTTGCAGGTTGCCGTCCTCAGACCTGCGCTCTACTTGCATCTCTCTTATAGGACCCTTTTCAGCTTCTTGCTTACCGCATCCTGAAAGCAGACTCACGAAAGGCCTCTGCAACTCCGCCTCGAGCACGGCGATCTGTGCCACGAGCTGTTCGCATGCAGCCTGCTCAAAGCAATTTGCGGCGGTTTGTGCTTCTGTCATGACAGGAGGCAGTGCCGCGGTGCCGTCCTGTACCTTGGCGTGTTCAAGGACCGCTTCACGACGGTCATCCGCAAGCCGATCCTCCGAATCGCCCGCTGGTCTTCACGCAAACGCAGACAGCCCGGACTTGCAAGCGGAAGGCGCCTCCTGCCGGCGGCGCTGTTCCTGACTCCAAAGGCCCAGCTCCCCTCCCAACTCTCTCAGAGCGCCAACCGCTCATTCTGCTCCTGAACTGCAGCCTGCCGCGCCCGCAAGTCAGAAACTTCGCCTCGGTATCCCGCAGTCAAGCCAAGCATCCAGCATCAAGCATCACATCAGTCAGCCGTGGCATGCACGAGCGAGTTCTTCGCACTCTCTTGCCGCCTCTTCGAGCTGTTCACAAGATGCTCGGTGCATTCTCAAGACATGCCTCCAGATTTTGTGCGTCAAGGCCCTGCAGCACCTCTCAGACAGGGAGCTATACGGTACCATCTCACGCAGCAGTACGAGGGCGGCCGCCGGCCTCCTCCTCTTCTCGAACCTTGAGCTCCCAAGCCTGTCAATGCAGGGTCCTATGAGTCTTCAGAAGAGCCCTGCACTTGTTGCCAACACGCCTGAGCTCTACTTCGAGCGTCTTCCGCCTGCAGTGCACAACGATTGCCACCACATTCGTAGATCCTTCTTCTTGAGTGTGCCGTGCATCGGACAGAAAACACGGTTCTTGGAGCAGGGTCTTGCGATTTGGTCCATGCTTCAGATCTTTCGGCATGCACCAAACGCTGCTGCCTTCAAGATGCTAGGACCAGAAGCCTGACTATCGGGCGGTTGCTCCTGTAGCTGTTTCAGGGCTTCTGACCCCGCAGTGAGTTCAGCTGTTCAAGGTTGATTCTGTCACACTCATTCTCCCACACTCATTCTCCCACAGTGCATTCACATCTGCATGCAGCTGCTTTGTGCTCGCCGTTCGCCTTCCCATCCCGGAGAGCAGCCTCCTTGCTGGCCTTGGTTTCGCCGGTGCAATTCAATGGTTCGCAGATGCACGGCACCGTTGACGGACTGAAGTCTGAGGGTAGCTGCAGAGCCGTCCAAAACTCCACGACACCAGGCCACCTCTGCCTGATCTCGCTGATATCGTTATACTCGGGATGTGGGAAGCTGTCTGGTCTCGGAGCCTCGTTGCGGAGTTGCAGTGCCTGGGCATCGTGGCTTGCCACAGACCGCCCACAAACACATGCGGGCGCACCTCCGTCTGCTCTTCAATCTGCTGCTGCAAATGCCGGCCACCTGGTGCATCCATTTGCCGTCGGCTGTTGTGCGACAGCTGTGTCTGAAGGCCGGGAGCCCCGTCAAGTTGTTGCAGCCGCGAGCGCCGCATCCGTCTGCTGGGCTGCGCATCTGAGCTGGACTTCCTCCTGAATCGCGCTTTCGGTCAGGGACCTGTTTCAGCGAAGGCTACAGGTGGTACAAGGCAGTCCTGCTGCCTTGCTAGCAGCTCTTGCTCTATCGTCACCAGCTTCATTTGCAGCTCAGCCTAAGGGGTGACCACAGAAGTGCCGCGTAGGCATCAGTTTGCCACAGTCTCATGCATGCCCACGCAAGCACCTGCTTGTCGAGAAGTGCGGCCAAGTCCTGGTCACAGGCATATGCTTCTTGAAAACTGGATCGGAGCTTCACACGCCATTTCTCCGCTTTTCGAATTCTGAGATGCAACAGGAGCATAATCACCAGAAAGATGCAGAAAGCCTTCTTCTCAGCACGGGTGCACCAGGACATGGAGGGCTCCCTGCCTCTTTGCCTCTGGCATGCACCTTGGACTCTTCTTCGAGTCGCCTCTGACAAGTTCACGGTTTTTCGTGGCTGCACTCGGCACTCGAGGCCTCTTCAGCATCTCCGTCTCCTCGCTCCGAGCCTGCCACTGGGCACTCCGCAGCTGCTCTGCTCCAGCTCGGCACAGCCTCGATGTCAGCCAGGGTGCTCCGCTCCATCGCCTGTGTGCACCCCAAAAAATGTGTGGCGTGCCAGCCTCGCGAAATCACAAGTCCCGGCCTGGGATTGCGAAACGAGCCTGATCTGCTTTGGTTTGGGAGGGGGGCGGTGCACATCTAGAGTTTCTGTGAATCGGAGCGTCGGCCGCACGAGTATTTCAGCCCAGCAGCTGGCTGAGATCACGGCCCAAGCGCCCCTTGCCAAAAATATTGTGAGACTTTGATCTTGCAGCACGCCGTATGCTACACTCTGCCGTAACCTGGCCTGTAGGATGGCAATCTCGGAAGACATGCAACCTTGCCTGAAAGCGCAAGTCGGAGCATCCAGTCGGGGCACGGGAATGACAAAAGTCGCGACACTAGAGCAAGGCAGAGAGCAGGAGGCCTGTGACTTGCGGTGGTATTCTCCAAAGCGCGGCTCTCCTTCTCATGCCTTGCGCTTCAGTCAGTGTCATCGGGAACCAAACTTTTCATTCCAAGGCCACGACTTTAAACTCGTGGCAAGGGCCTGCACCGCCTGGCAGGAGTTTTATGGGTGCGCTGCTTTTTTTTCAACGCTTCACTTCCGCATGTTTTCCGTCCGCCAGCAAGTGGTGCCTGTTCTGCTTTGGAAAGGCGTGCAGAAGCCTAGTGGCACAATACTACCGGGACAGCGCGGATGAAGAAGACTGAAAGGCAGAGAACAGGTAACCTCTGCAAAGCCACCGTGGGAAAGGACGCGGGGGGCCATTTCGTCAAACTGGACCTGTGAACAATTGCGAATGAAACAGATGCCGGGAGAACCGATGGCGCTGACACGACGTCCGGTCGCCTTGAGCTCACCCTGCAAGGCCCGCACATCGTTCCTGAAATTGCGTGAGGCAACAGGATGCACACTGACTGACCGTCTGGACCCATGAGCCCACAGTAGTGTTGTGTCGCCTTAGCTTACCATCACCATGGCTGCACTCACCCGGAGCGACACCATGACGCAGGCGCGTGCAATCGCCTGCAGAATCACCCTCCCACTCCTGCCTGATGCTTGCTGCTTCAGCAAGAAATTACGTTTACAGCACATTTGCTTTTAGCACGCTGCGACACATCTCCTTCCGCCCGGTAGAGCACGCATGTGGCACTTGTACACTTGCACAGGAAGCTTTCCGAGCATCTATGTGGCCACCGTACGCACACTGCCTCCCTCTGCTTGCTTCGACCATGTGTTACAGGTATGTCAATTGGGTACGCACACTGGCAGGGCCGGCCTGAGCGTCATCGCCTGTCAACTTGCTGCGCGTGGCTTGCATTACACACATCGAGCGGGCCTCTGCTCGGAGGGAGGATGCTTCCTGACAGTGCTGGGGCTGGGGCATGTGAAATGCCCTTGCTGCATAGAAAGCTCCTGTGCACTCATCTGGGCATGGATGCGCCAGTGCCTGGCTGCCGTAAGAATGTTTCGTGAATCGTGAGGAGGCATGGCGAAAGGCAGAGGACTGTCCTGAGCTTGTCGGCTGCCTTCAACCTGGCGGCTGCCAGCCGGTGACCGGCCATGGAGCGGGCTGCCGCCAGGTGCCGGCTTGATTCAGTCTGGCAGGAGCTGTAGTCGTTCGCATGCTTTGCAGCAGAGATTTGCAGTCGCTGTTCGTCTGCAACACCTTGCTGTGCGATGGTCTCGAGCTCATCTCTCTGGAACTGCGTCTGTTCCAGTAGACGCTTGTTTGCATCCTTGACGGCAGCGACTCCTCCGACAAGCTCCTCATGGCTTTGTGCCTGTCTCACAAGTTCGCGATTCAGGTTCTCACAGCGCCGCTTTGCCGTACCCAACGACTCCAACACGTCACGGCTTCCCAAAGCCAGATATTTGCTGGCTGAAGGATCTCCGCACCCATCTCTCGCTTGGGCCAAACCGTCCTGCATCTCGCTCGTCAACCTCTGGATGTCCGAGGGCAAGGTCAGGTTGCCAGGTGTTGGCCTGGCCTCGGTTGAGCCAAGCGGTTCTGTGAGAACCTGCAGCGGGTACGGGAGTTCTGGGCGGAATGTACACGGAAGCTACACTGAAGCTGGTCATACCTTCGAAATGAAAATGAGGCAATGGCCAACGACTGCAGCTGCTGCAGCTGCAGAAGCAACCGCTGACATGTGCTGCTCCAAAGCTGCTCAGCGGAAACATCTGTGCATGAAGAGCGGTTCGTGAAGCGTCGGCTTTCGGGGCAGGAATGATGCGAAATCGGCGCCGCCTCCATGGCTGTGCACCGCTTTCATCATATAAGTTCCAGCCTAGAACCACGATTTAGGGATTTCGTGAAGGATCTGCTCAACTGTCATTTGATATCGACTCCCACGGCCCAAGGCTCAAGGCCCAGCCAGGCCCAGTTAAAGGAGTTTCTGATTTGAGAGAAACTCTTGTATACCGTCGGATTTTAAGATTCTCAATCCCAGCTGCCCAGCTCATTACTTACATGCTGTGTTCTCCACCCTCCCGCTCACAGCGTGGGCTCTGCAGCTGCGACCAACTGACACTTGGACCGGATGAACTTCTCGGCTCGCAAGTATCTGATTGAACAAACGCGCATTTGATATGAGACGTTCAAGTCACCAAAGCTGGTCTAACATTGGCACTATACGGTTGGCCTAGATAGCAAAAATACCAGAACGCCTTTTTTGGAGTTCATTGCTTCAAAGGATAACCACGCTCTTTTTGCTCTCGCATGCCAAGCAGAATCACGCACTATGCAGGTCGTAGAGCAGATTTCCAGGCCCATCATGTGCCGCTTTGATGAAACAGACAGGCATCCCGGAGCGCGCCCGAGACTGCCGAGCTGCAGCGCACGTGCCTGCAGGGAAAAGAAACTTCTGCTGTTCGGGTGCCATCGTGTGAGGATGGTTGGGCTCATGTTCGCTGCACTCCGAAAGTTGCAGTTTCTCTTTGGATCCGTCTTGCCAGGACCTATCGGTATGCTGTTCATTCCTTTTTGGCGTTCTGCTCAACGACTGAATATATGTATGCATACTTATGTATGTATGTATGTATGTATGTATGTATGTATGTATGTATGTATGTATGTACATATGTATATATGTACGAATGCATGCAAGCAAGAATGTATGGATGGATGGACAGATAGATAAAAAGATAGGTAGACAAACAGAGAGAAATGGATGGATAGGCTGACAGGCAGACAGACAGACAGACAGACAGACAGACAGACAGACAGACAGCCAGATAGGTTTGCATGGATGGATGGATGGATGGATGGATGGATGGATGGATGGATGGATGGATGGATGGACGGATGGATGTCATAAACGATCTATGAAAACATTGAGTGTGCGACTGACAACAGCACCATCACCATCAGCAGCACCACCACCACCACCATCATCCTCCTGACGAAGAAGGACAAGAAAAACAAGCGTTACAACTAAGACTATTATCGTTGCCAAACTGCCTTTGCCGGAAGAGCACATGGTATAGCACACAGTGCAGGGATTGCCACGGGCAGCAGCTTTCCAGCGAGCCAATACATTGGCGTCGCTGCTGCGATCTGGTGCGCCAAGCTGGGGGAGGCGGATCGTTGCTCGGAGTGGCTGATCCTGTATCCTCGTGCTGGGGCTGAAGCGCATTGGAACAGCCGGAGGCCAGCCTCTGTCTCGAAGTCATGTTCAGGCTCAGTGGCCGCCAGGTCCTTGGCCGCCTTGGCCCCTGCATACTAGATGAAGTAGCAAGTAGCGAGTCGTAGTACGGCACTTATATGGTGCCGTGCAGCTCAACGATGAAGCAGTGTGCCAGCTAAGTCTCACTCCAGATTCAAGGGCTGCTCAGGCCCCATCTTTAGAGGCTCTGCAAAGAAGCTTGGTGCGTCCGCACGGCTGGCCGCAGACTGGACCAAGCCATCTGGAGTCTGCGCAGAGGCTCTCAGGGCCAGAACGCAAAGCTGGTGGTCGCCCAGAAGACCCGGGTCAAGGCGGCCGAGCACATAGTCAGCCACATCGCGTACAGCTCGGGCTCGGACTGCCTGCTCTTCGCTCAAGCGGCGGGTGGCCGCTCGGATTTCACATCTCATCGCTTCAGAGAGCTTTGGCGAATTTGAGCTCACAGGGCCAGCCAAAGGGACTTGCAAAAGAACTGCTGCGGCAGTCCAGCGCACCTTCCAGTCTTGATGCTGCATAGCACGCATCATCACCTCATCTGCATCGGGGTATGTGGCATGGATCTGTTGCAAAGCCGCCAGTGACGCACAAAAAACGAGAAGCTAGTGGTTCAGCAAGGTGCTTCTAAGGCCAGCTGGCTGTGAACATTGGCCTTGACGATCAACGGCTGCAGAGCCGCTGCCGCACAAAGCTGGATAGACCTGACTCCCGCAGAAACTTGGGAGATGGGTGGGACATGGTGGGATGCGGGAGAGAGCCGGGAGCCTGCTCGAGTCGACAAGGCCGGCAGCCAGAGCATTGAGCCACACGACAACCGGTGCAGCCAAGTCCTGATCCACACGCGAAAGCACGTCTTTCAGGATCTCATAAACTCAGCCAGGGAACGACGGATGCACTCATCAATGCAGAAAGGCTTGGCGCGCACGCTGCGGCTGTGCGCCGCTGAAAAGTGTCCGCTGATCGGATGCCCGCCACCAACGCACCGGCCGAAGATCGCAGCAGCTCCGGAGGAACGTAACGCTGATCGTTGCAGCACAGGGCCAGCATGCAGGCCAGCAGTCTAATGCCACCATGCCGCGCACTGGTACACTTTTCCTGCAGCAAGAGCAGTGCCTTCTCAATGCCACAATGTTCATGGCCGCTTGATAATTTCTGTATCAGTTCGACGCCGGCTTTCTGCGAGTAGACGTGGTGGCTTCTCAAGTTGGGAATGAGGAGCTGCACATAGCCTCGTACGGTAAAGGTATCAGAGAGTGATCAGGGTTGTTGCTGGGGTAACCGGGGTATGCCGGGGTCGTTCAGGGTAGTCTTCGGCCCGTCACATACGCGGATAGTGTTGCGTGTTCGGCGAAGAGTGACGTCCTGCTCCTTGACCTGCTCATTGTAGCTGCTGTGCCTCTGGGCTGTCTGTCACTCTTGTCCGCGGGACTCGCACTCGCATCTTTCGTGCAGTTTCCTTCATGGTGCTTTCGAAGGGGTGTCTGGGTGCACTCGTGTGACTCTTGGACCGCAACAGACCCGAGGGCTAAGACGAAGGAGTAAATAAAGCGAAGCACTACTGGCATCGAAGATAGCTCCCATGTCATGATCGTTGACTGGCTAGGCCTTTGCCGGAAACACAATGAAAAAACCCTTCGGCAGACTTCAGGCAGTCGACGCTCATCCCATGGGGTCGCCAGTCTCAAAAAAGCGCGGAGAACCAGCCGCCGCCTTCCCTGACTCGGATGCGCCAGATGCTTTGTCAGCCTTTCGGTGTACCAGTACCAACTTCTATGCTGCCGCTGCAAGTCGCAAAATAGGCTAAGCTATGCTTCTACACTGAAAGTCTCCACGTGACGGGAACAGGAGGCGAAGTCGCTGTTCCGGGCCAAATGCTTGGGCCAGATCGGTCGCGGCTGCACGCACAGCTTGGTGTCGGTCCAGCAAGCGACACCCGATTCCACGGAGTGCTATGACAGGAATCCGTTTGCCCGCCAGGTGGTAGCTTTTCAACGCAGCCAGTGCCACACAGCGAACCTCGAACGTTTTGTGGCAGAGGTATTGGACGAGACGGCCGGCGACGAAGCCTACTGGAGCTTGACACTGGCGGAGAAGAATTGCCAGACACTCCGGGACAGAGCTTCGCGTTTCTGGGTTCTCCAAGCACGAGATACATGATCTAAGGGCCTCCGGCATCGTGGCGATTTGAAGCAACGCCTGAGCAGCAGGGACACGTGTTCTGGGGTTGGCCATTCTCTGAAGAACTCCAGCTATTGCGAAGGCATCGCCGCGACCCACCAGCTGTAGGGTCTGCACGCCGGCGCCGAATGCCCATTGGCAGTCATGGCTTAAGCAAGCCAGGGCTGCTTGAATCACAAGGAAATCGCCCTGCCTGGCAAGCAACGCCACGGCCTTGACTGCTTCCTGTCGCACGATGCCGTCCGTGTCCTGAAGTCTGGCGGCAACTGCAGTGAGAACCTGGATGCTCCTGCAGTCCCCCATCATTTGCTGAAGAGACAGGAGAGCCTTGCCAAGACATCGCTGCTAAATGACAGGGATTAAGGCTGCTTAAGGCTTACCTTAAGGGCCTTGGGCCGGCCTTGGGCAGGTTTCTTCAACCGAGTCCTGCCGGCGCACAAGAGGGCTGCTGTCCGTAATTCCTTGTCGAAGGTAAGCCGGAGGTGATCCAATTAAAGCAGCCAGGGCATGTGCGCTTCCGATTTCTGCCAAAGCCCCTACCGCACGGGCCGCCGATTCCCGAGTTACAACCGAGTAGTGGGAGCCAAGAAATCTCAGGATGCTGTACAAGGCTTGTGGCGGTGATGGTTGCGTCAATCTTGTGCCAATGTTTGCCAACGCCCGCAGGATGAGCGTTTGAATGTCTTCAACAGCTTCGAGCTGCAAACGGGATTGAAGCAAGCGTGTCGCAGCAGCGTGGCCCCTGGGAGCTAGCCTTTCGAGAGCTCGCACCGTTGCGAGCCTCACTGCTGCCGCAGCATGCCCCTGGCATCTGCTGAGGGCGGCTAAGGCAGTTTCATCACCACAAGCTGCCTGTTCCTGGAGCGCCTCTAGCACGGCCATCATCGGTTCCGGCTTCAGGCTAAGCTCCAAGCAGCGACACAAGGCTCGCAGCGAGATCTTCGTGCCCTGCCGCTCCTGCCGTCTACATGGATTCAACTTCAAAGTGCGCCTGCCAACCCATCCGACCCATCCCTGAGAACTCTTGAGCCCTGAAGGGGGCCCTGAAGGCAGCGTCACGCGTGCAGCGCCCACCAGATTGCAAGGATCAGTCCTGAAGCAAGCTGGCCTCGGGCTCTCAGACGCGACTTTACCGGGAAAGATGGAAAACAGGCGCATTGGCGCATGCGTGAGAATTTGTGGCCAGGATGCCAGCTTCGCCAAGCAAAGAGAGACCAAACGATCCAATGCCAGGAAATCAGCCGCCCAAAGCAGTCGCTCCAAGTCACCAGGCCCTCCACTGGAAAGCCTCAAAAATGAGAGGAACCGCAGGAGCACCGAAGGTGACGCTTAAGGATCAAAACCGGTAAAATCCGGTGGAAGAAGGTTGAGCAGAGGTTAAGCGGCTTCTTGCTCAGGACCCACTTGCCCTGTGCATGGTGCTCACGGCAGTGTGCAAGAACCCATCGCAGAGAGATGCTGTCCACCAGGGGCAGCGGAACCTCGTCACCGTCCTTAGGCACCGACGCGGCACCGAGGGGTTCCAGGAAGACGCAAACGGCTGAGATTGACCAGTCAAGTGGCTCCCATTTCTGCCACGCTCGAAAGGACGGGGCTCAAGGCCACCGTGCCCAAGTCGACTTCAAAAACGTCCTGGGTTCGCCATGCCGCCGCCATGTGCCGCCGTACAGACCACTCACAAGCAGGCAAACGCCGCAGAACAAGAGTTCAATGCCAGCTGCCCTCCGAGAAGCACCATCACTTGATCTCAATCTGGCCATTTGCCGCACATGTCGGAAGCTACCCGCGAACGCGAGTGAGAAGAGGCTTGCGCAGCCTGCCCTGAGCAGCTTTAGCTGGTGAACACAGGTGAACGGATTCGGAAAACAGAACACACCCAGACACCGTCCAACGCGCAGTAGCACGCAAGAGTCGGAACTTTTTCTGGTGATAGAGCACCTCTTCGTGTCGGTTTTGGTGTGCACGTCATGTATTCTTGTTGCAACACCGCAGGGGAGAAGTAGATGATCTGATCTGAAGTCTAGTGCACTCGGAGCACTGCTCTCCGCTGTGGTCTTTCAGGAAATCCAGAGCTTCGCAGGCTCAGCTCCCAGTCTGACTCAGTCAATTCTGGGCTACACCGAGGCTGCGCCTCGCAGGCTTCCCCGACCGCCAAAGCACATCTAAAATCTTACGAGACTGTGCAGAGTGCAAGTTCCAGCATGTTGAAGCTTCGCATGGAGAGTCCTGCCACGTGTCTGGTCCAGTGATGCTATCCGAAGCCCTGGAAAAGCTCCTTCCGCAGAAGCTTGAGCCCACTTAAAACCAGCGTCGCCCTTACAAACCGTACCTTGCATGCGGAAGTCCCGACGCGCAAACCTCAAGCCGAGGTTCACACGAACTGCAGGGAATGAACATAGCTGCTTCGGACCTTTACACAAGCACCAACCGGTGGAGGCAACTTTGCCACCGAGCCGAGGTGCAGAAAATAGCGAGAACCGGAGGTGACGAATTATTCAAGTTACATCGAGAATCTGCTAGCCTAGACATACGCAGCACAGGAGAGAGCTGACAAGACAGCGAAGGGAGACTGCTGGACCTGCAACATCCTGCAACCGTCATCTTACAGGCGGATGCAACTTGTTCAGGGTGCAAGATTTGACAGCTTGCAACACTGCCACACTGACTGTTCCGAGCGAACAATTCGCGTGCACATGCCACGGGGAAGCCGTGGCCCCGCACCGGCAGAAGCCGTGCGGCTGTGGAAAATTAAACTGGAAGCCGTTGGACAACTTGCCGTAACCTTCAGATGGTCGACTAACTTGGCAACTTGCCATGGACGATGTCAGCATCATTGTGCTAGCAGCATCAGGACTGCGCCTGCTGTGCCAAGCGTCTGTGCTGAGTTAAAAATCAGCCGCTGTACGTAAAGAGTTTGGCTATTCAAACGAAGCGCCGTCCCAGCCCACCTGACAGAGCTTGTGAGAAGTGTGTGAGCTGAGCTAGTGCCATCTGCCCGGCATTCTGGCCTGTAGGGGGCTGCGAAGCAGCGGAGATCTACCACACATCTTCACCCAGCCACGGTTTGAGATTCGCATCAATCCTGACATCGATGCATCTGACATGACATGAGGTCATATCTTCGAGCGATGTCGAGCGATGCATTAAATCCGGCCTTGACCTTTCTGCAGGGTCGACCTTCAGCAAGGCCTCCAGCAATTCCATAAGGGATTCCTCAGATCCAACCAGGACAAGTTGTCGTGAAGCTGTCCTTCCGCCCTCCACCCCATATAGCTTGGGTGTTATACCAAGACTACGAAGAACTTTTGTCATGCCCACGGCCGCATGTCGCCCGTCTCTTAAACCTTCAACCCTAGACTTCCCAACTCGACACACGGTCTCGCTCAATTCCACGGCAAGCTGCGCTGAAGACTTGGCTAAGCCGAGCCCCGTTGCTGTTCCCTGAGCTGACTCGATTTAACACGGGGCCTATGCACGAGATAACGCAGGGCGCTCCAGGCAGAGTGAACAGAGGCATTTCTCTAGTGGAGCGACTTTCAAAAAACCAAACCGCATGTTCTCGACCGAAGGCCCTGCAAGAAGGACCATGGCCATAGCAACAAAAACAAAGTATGCTGCTTCTGCTCGGAGTTGCTGGCTTTCCTCTTGATCAAGTACGCCTCAAGTCCTTTCTGCCGCGTGAACTCGAAGCATTTACAGCCATTGGGCCTCAGCGAACGAGAACGAGGAGCCTCCAGAGAGCCAGCCGAAAGTTTGCGGAAGGAGCTGGAGTGGAGGAGTGGAGCTGAGGTGATGGCTTGGTTGACAACCACGGGTAGTCTTGCGCCACCATCCTCAGGTCGAAGGTCCCATGGGCACATGGTCCTATGGTGATCGGTTGATACCAAGCTACCCGAAGAGAACCACACCCACAGAGAAGGCATCAGCCAAACAAGGATCCTCAGCAGGTTTGTCATGCCTCTCTCTCTTGCAAGTCGCTTCGTAAGCCGCTGTATGACGCTGTGCTGTGCTGCGAGGTTTCGTAGCTCGCTTGCTCGTGCATCTCTGGGGCCTGGTAGGAGGGCTTCCCGCGGGGGCCGACCTCTCAGGCCGAGCCAGGCCGGCGCCGCCAGGCCAGGCTCGCGAGCTTTCTCCGATTTCGAGCTCAACCGCTGGGGCGCTGACAAGGAAGTCTTGCTTGATGGTGGCCATCCCGAAGTCGATCAGCTTCACTTGAGGGCTTCCGTCTGTTGAGCTCGTTGCGAGGAGGATGTTCCTTGAAGCGCTGGCATAACAACCGGAAGGATAGCACACTTCATGATACGATACCATCGTGCCGTCGATTCTGCCAAGGTTCTCCAGCGACAGATCGAGATGTGCTATAGAGAGGCTGTGTAGATGCCGGACGGCGCTAACTATCCTGAGTGTTCCAGGTACCGGAGAACACGCTAGCGTGAGCCTGAACCCTACCGTCGCGCCGTCGCGAAGTACCTGCGAAAGTTTGCGAAAGCATCTGCTGTTCAACCAGGAAGCTGCCGCGCAACAGGTCGGAGCATCTGCCTTGCAGGCGGAAGATTCCCCAACTCGCCCGTTTCTTCTCTGATCTCAGACTCTAAGATAGAGAATCCGTTCCACTCTGGTGTCTCAGCCATGTGGCTCGCGCTCTGGGCCAGGGGTTGGGCCAGATTGGCACCACTCAAACCTTGGAACTAAGTGCATCGCGAAGAAACCAGCCGATCAGCGCTTACCAGTAGGTGCAGAAACCCTTCTGCCGACAAGTTGCAGGTCACCTTTATCCGCGAACTCGGAGACAAAAAACGTCTCACCTGACGAAGCTGAGACCCGTTCTTGCCACACTCAGCTTGCATGCGCTTTCCGTTGGGGAAGTATCGAGACAAGTCTCTTTCGCTGCGGAAGGTGCCATACGGCTCGCCTCAACAACATGTCAGGTGTCTCCAAGCACTGCAGACGGCCGTATGGCCTGCACACCAACATACCGCAAGCTTTCTGCCGCCACGGGGGCATATGAAGCGGAAGCCCTTTGCCTGCAAGTACTTGGCCTTTGGAGCAGATCAGAATTTGGCCATCAGCATCAAGCTATCGCTTCAGCCGCCAAGAGGCCAAGCCGATGTCGACCCACGGCAACTCTGTCTCGGACGGATGTTGGCGGACAAAGTCCTCCGATCGCAATCAAGCAGACACAGACAAAAGTCTGCAAAGCGGCTAGGCCCAGCTCCTCATGGTTCAGGCCAGTCCATGTGATCGGCATTCGCTTCACTGCCACAAACTTTCCGTTCGAGAGATCTTTCCTTCGTGACTCGTGAGTCCAAGTGTTTCCCAAGAGCAACAGGTAGGTCATCACGATGCCAAGGCGCTGTAGCTCGACCCTGCCCTGGTTTCGGGCAGCGTTCTGCAATAAGCGGATGTGCTCAAAGCCTGCAACAAGATGCAGAAACAGCAAGAACCCGATCAAGGAGCCTGGGACTTACTCAGGTACGCGTCTGCTGTAGGCTTGGGCTGCCGGGTGCAGCTTGAGAAACTCAAGACCCTCCCCTTCCGGAGCACCCCTGCCAGCCCCTTTACCAGCACTGCAAAGCTCGAGGCTTCGGACGAATGTCCCAACGAATAAGCGAGCGTTTCAGCAGGACATGTTTACCTTAGAATGGTTACGAAAGTTACCGCTCGACACTCCATGTTCTTTGCTGTCACGGGGCGTGCATCCGCCCAGGACTGGGCCTGGCCAACCTGCAGGTCCAGGTCTCTCTGTGAAGTAAAGGCAGTGCCAGTGTAAGGGGGCAGCGATCTCAATGCACTCATCGATGCCCATCTCTGCGCCAGGCTCGACCTCGGCAGAGCTCAAGTGGACCAAGCCGCTAGGACAGGGGCTTTGCGATGAAGCAGATCTTCGAGGAGCCCACTTCGATTTCTGGCTCCTGGGTTGTATCATGGCATGGCGCCATGAAGCCAAAAACGGTTTGGTCAGTACAAGTATATGCTGCAGCTGCAAACGCAATAATTCAAGAGGGCAGCAGAGCTGGAAGAGTTGGACGATGAGCCTGGGCATGTCTGTGAATCTGTTCAATGGCCACTGGGCCCCTGCCACCTCTGTGCTGCGCTCCACTTGGAATCGGACCTCGAACGACACCAAACAATGGCTGCTTCATGCTCAGCGTTGTCGCGGGTTCCTGCAAAGACTGACCCTCCGAAAGGCTCACGACATGCATCTCGTCCCAGGTCCTTGTGAACAAGCTTCCCGGAACCCACGTGGCCCACCCTTGGTTAGCAAGAAACGTCCTGGAGACAGCCACGACATCAGCATGGCCACGAGTCTGAGAATCCAAGGAACAGGTCTTCATCACAGTCTGTGAGACGAGGTTCAGTTGCCTGGAGCATGTTTCACAGGCAGCAGGCCACTGCTCCACACGGCAGGTAGCACCACTTGCCTGGCTCTCCATACACTTCAGAGGAGGCCGCAGAAACGTCTTGAAGAAATACATCCTGTGACCTCAGCAACACCCAAAGGCACCAAAGGCACCCCATGAAGATCTCCAAGGCCACTGCAGAGCGAGGTAACAAAATCAACTTCAAATTGATAGGGGCCCTGTTTCGAGCCGAAGACTGCAACACATCACGCATTCCGTGCCCGTCGTCCATAAAGGACAGGCTGCAATGCGCCATGCGGAGAAACCTTTGCACTGACGGCGTAGACGAAACACTCACAAGACTGCAAGCTACAACCATTCGCTAGAAGCTCGCATGCGGAGCTTGCGTGGCCTGGCTCGAATAGATGAAACAGCCCGTCAGGTTGACAGGCATCGAAAAGCACTAACGTAGCACTTCTTGCAGGGTCCTGGCGGCTTTCAAAAGAAAAGAGTGAGGACCAGAACGTTGTCTCTCGACCCCAACCGCTTGGCTTCATCAACCAACTCCTGCGAAGTGTGCTGCTGGAGCCATTCTGAAACATCTGGTGGGTTCTTGTGCGCCCCGGCTGCTTGCTCAACAGACCTCTCGACGATCCTGCAAGCATCCTCATCGCTGACAACATCCCATAGGCCATCCGTCGCCACGATCAGCGCGTGCCCAGATGCAACACTTACGGTGGACAAGTCCGGAGTGCAGCTCAACCCTTTGCCTTTCAAACGATGGTCTCCCAGCGATCGGGAAATGGCCAGATCGCCTCCGACCCTCCCGCCAGACACGATCCCACCACCCTTAGTGACGCGCTTTGCCTCCTCCAGATCTGTGGGCCGATGGTCCTTGGTGAGGCTTCTGCAGCAGCCGATGTTCTCAATCAGAACGGCCCTCGAATCCCCCACATGCGCAATGTGGAGGCTTCGCCCCGCCTTGGTTCCCTGCACCAACACAACTGTTGCAGTGGTGCCATGGTTCCAAGCACCATACATGCCGAGCTGACTGTCGATCTTGTGGAAAGCCGTTTTCAATGCATCTAGGGGACTTGACGTTTTCATCTCCAGGGCAACCTGCTCATGCAAACGCATCTCGCAGTAGTCTACCGCCTCACGGCCACCATGGCCGTCGTAGACAGCAAAGAAGCCCCAACGGTCGCTGGAGCTGCCTGATGAGCCTTGCTCAAAGGGGTGAAGACTAAGCGAGCCATCCTCCATGTAGCTTCTATAGGCAGAATTGGCATCTGAAGCCAGGCTGGTGAAAGCCACGAGCTGGCTATCGGACGCAGGCCATGGCCGCGGAACTTGGATGGCAGCTTCCCGAGTTTCTCGCTTCATTCCCTCCAGGCTCTGCCTGTCCTTACTCCGAGACATGGATGCCTCTGCCGAGCTGCCCTCCAAGCCCTCCAAAAGACCCATGAACTGCCAGTCGTCGGCCGTGGCGGTGCTGGGAGGAATGACTGCATCCACCGGTTCGGTCGCCGACTTGTCCGTCTGCAGAGGGGTTCGTTTCTGATCCAAAGACTTTTCACGGTCCTCGATCTCGAGTTCCAGTTCTTCCAGCAGGCCACTCAGAGAGAAATTATCTGAGTCTGGCATCCTTGACGTGTCGCCGCCGAGCTGCGCTTATTGCCTCTTATGCACAACGCGTCCTTGCACGAAATCCAGATGGGCAGCCAAGCATTGCAGGCCAGGCGATTCTTACAACTGACAAGGCTGAAATGACAGGGGCTCAGGAGTGGAGGTTGTGTGCTCTGTGGTTCTCCAAGTGCTCTTGAACAGTTGATGGACCACAAATCCTTCGAGTTGATAGCGCATGGCTTTCAGCGTTTCGAACCTGTATCAAGGCCTGGCGCCCTGTTGCCTGCGGATGCAGCGAGCATTTCTTCCCAGACCCCATTCCCTGAGTTCGCGTTTCAGCCCACTTTTCGGCACCATCCAACTTCGCTACCGTGACCGTGAACTGGTAAGGCGCGCGAAACCTTGTGGCAAGCCCGACGCAGAAGGCTCTTTCACCAAAGTGCTTGCAACCCTGTGCAGAATTCTACCAGGCCATTAGTCACACTCATACCTTCCAGCAGCGGGACGGCTAGCCTTACCCTCTGCAATACTCGTAGACTTCAGAGAACAGACAAAGGCCTACTCTTCATGACTTGTTGGAGGAGGTAAGATTGCAAGAAAGCGAGAGTTTCAGGTGGCACGCGGCGAGCTCACTACGCGTAGCTGGCTTAGCCTCCACATCGCCAGATGAAGAGTTTCGGCACACTCTCCCTGTGACTTTGCAATCGCCTAACTAAACACCCACGGCCCACGGCCCTTAAACTTCGCCTGGCGCAGAACATGCCCCATGCCTTCTCCTAAGCTGCCCGTGCCCGTCCGAGCATTAAGATGAAGGAGATGGTGGATATCTTGAGCCCAGTCTTGAGACCGCTTATGATCAGAGGGGAAGGGAGCTCAGGCTGACAGCGCATCCCACAACGACTTTTTGCCGGACCTCGGCTCTGAGCGTGGTCCTAGGATGGCGTCGGGCTGAAGCTCAGCGCAGCTTTGTACAGAGCCTACTGAGCTCTCGGGCGACTCATGGAGGAGCTGGTTGTGGAAGCCGTTTGAGCGCATGCCGCAAGACTTTGGCTGCAAGTCGACATGAACGTTTTGGGTCTTATCCTTTCTTGCGCGCTTTCTTTTTGGTTGCCCCCTCTTCTTCCTCATCGTCCTTCTTTTTCTTGGCCTTTTTGGGTGGTTCTTTTTCTTTGTCCTTGTCTTCATCCTCCTCCTGTTTCCTCTTCTTGGTTGCCTTTCCCTCCTTCTTCTTCTCCTTCTTCTTGGTGGTGGCATCCTCCTCCTCTTCCTCCTCTTTCTCCTCCTCTTCCTCCTTCCCTCCGGACTGGATCTTCAGCTGGTCGACGAATATGTCGAAGCACTGTCGCCGTGTGGCATCTTCCATGGCCTCCCAAGCGGGGCTGGAGCCAAGCAGCTTTGCAGCCTTTTCGTAGCTAGTCTTGGCTGTAATCTCCCTGGACTTCTGCAGCAGCTCCACGAACTTCTTTCGATTCTTCTTGGCCACCTGGGCTACTGCGCACGCGCTGGCTTGATTCTCGGCACTGGGAAGGGTACCTAAAGGTGTGAGGCCTTGTCCGCATCCTCCTCGACTTCCTTGGCTTTTGAGACCAGGCTTTCGAAGTGGGTCTTGCACTGATCTTCAGGTATGTCTTTGAACACGGCTTCATCTTTCAGCTCGGTCTTGAACCATTCCCAGGTGGAGCTCTGAGTAATCGTCAATCCCTTGGACTTTGCTAGCTTCTTCAGCTTCGTCTTGTCCTGACATCCGAATGAAAGTTCCTGCGCTTGCGCTACGCCGCTACGACTCGGACTCGGACCTGCGCTGTCCCTTCGGCCCTTCCCCTGAAGCCCCGAGTCCTGGGAGAACTTGTCTGAAAGCTCCTCTAAGTAGTCGTCGAACAAGTCGTGTGGTGTGGAGCCCGGCTGAGCGATGAGGGCGACGTACCGAGAGTCCTTCACAACATCGTGCTCCTCGGCATAGTCCCCCCAGAAGGTGCTCGAGGTGATCTTGCCCTCTTTTCCATGCTGACGGAGCAGTTCTCTGAAGGCATCCCGGTTTTTCCGCTCTGCACGGTACTTCGCCTTGGTCTTCTCCTTCAACTCGGCCTTCTCAGTATCCAAAACCCACTCCTCCCAGGAGGTTAAGGCCTCAAGCTTCGAGAGCCATTTGAAGTACTCGTTATCACGCAGAGCATCCTGCACATCCCGCCAGCGACTGAGCACGGTGATCTTCTCCTCCTTCGTATAGATTTCCTGAAAGGTGTAGCAGCGTAGCATGCCGGGTCCGAAGGCCAGATCAATGGAAGAAACAGCAACAGCTCGGGTCGGGCCTTGATCTTCTCGACATACTCTTTCCGCTTCTTTCTCCTGTCTTCCTTGGCTTTCTTCTCGTTCTCGTCCATGAAGTCGTCAAAGACTTCAACACCTCGGCAGTGGATGCAGCACTCTGAGACACGGGGTGAACAGATCAGAGGGGCTGGGGCTGCTCGGGCTTTATTGCTTGACTGAATCCGCGAGGCCCTCCCAACAAGAGGTCGTTAACTTTGGAGTCTGGGGCCCAGTAGGCAAGTCACGCTCATCTTCCTCCAGCAGCTTGAACCACTCCTCGTTGTAGAAATGTTCGGCGGCATCTTTGTATCTTGTCGTGAGCTTCAGATCTTTCCAGGCGGTCAGAGCATCGATGAAGGAATCCTTTGCTTTCTTTCTCTTTTCGCGTTCCTCTTCCTTCTCTCGCTTCTTGGACTGCGTGATGTACTCAGCAAACGCTTGCTTCCTTTCCCCAGCAGCTGCTAGAGCGCCGAATCTTCTGTCCTCCTGAAGCTTCGAAACGGAGCTGGCTGACAGCTGGAGCTCAAGTGCGACACTCAGCATATTTGCGGTACTGTACCTATCCACTCTCCGCGATTCCGAGGCTCCTGGATGAGCTTCAGAGCATCTTCCCATTTCATATTGCTCTTGATGCCCTTGTCTTCGAGCAACTGACGGGGTTGCGAGGCCATGCCATGAGTGCTGACGTTGCATGACTGTATGTCGTCGTCACACTCTGATCTGAGTGAGACAGTCGTTGGCCTGTCGGAATGCATTTCGTCTATCTTCGGGTGTCTTCCAGTCTGGCTCTTCCTGTTTCTTTGGCTTCTTGTCCTTCTCCTTTGAGGCGTTCCATCAAGTTTGAAGGGACATGCATCTGGACAAGAAGACTAGTGTTGCAGTTCTCGCACGGCGACTCCAAGGCCAAGTTGTTGCGAACAGGCTGCGTCGTCACTCTCGTCCTCCTTGGCCAGCCCTCTCAAGCGCTTCAGCTCCGCAGGCATTTCCCAAACCTTGGTTCAAGAGTCCCTTGCGTCCTACTCTGGGACCACACAACTTGCTGCAGGAACGGCAACTCGCTCATTGCATGTATGTGGCGCTCTGCTTCGTGATGGGGTTGTAGTAATAATCTCGTCCATCTGCCGTCTTGTACCTTGCACAACCCACTCATCGGGCAAAGTGACGAAGACAGGACATGTCATTGTCCGAGCAACTCTTTCCAGCTGGTGGTGTTCATCTTTTCATCTGCATTTTTCAGGCACTCCGGCTTATCCCAGCTGGACTGCTTTGTGACCTGCGTTGCGGGCACTATTCCGGCCCTTCAGTGCCCAAACCAAGCTCCAAAAGTTCAAGATCGTAAGCAGACAGAAGCTCACAGAAGCATACACTTCTGTCGGCTCCTTGTTGTAGTAGTACCGCCGACCATCGCTGTGGGTGTGCTCAGTCCAGTTGCCCGGCTCTTTCGCTGGGTCCACCATCGCTAACACATAATCAACACATCCGTGTTGTCTAATGTTTGGGCCAAACCACATGCCGCGAAGCAAATGCTGGCTTTCGCTGCAAGAGGAATACTACGAGCACAAGCTCTCTCACCTTCGACAGCATTAGTTGCACGCTTTTCCTTTGTTGCATGCTGTCACAGTCTGAGACGCAGTTTTCGGTGATCTCGCTGAAGTCGTGATGGAACCGCGTCGCAGCTGCTCAGCAAAGCTGCTTTGGGCTCCTTCTTGATGTATCGGAGGTCTGCAACGTTCTGTTGGAGCCAAGCTTTGCGCCGTTGGGTAGCTCGTCTCGCTGCAGGCCCGCACGGAACACTCAAATCAAGGGCATGAGATCCTCGGAATCTTCAAGTTCCTCGACCACCCGCTTTTCCGGAGCTGCAGCAGGCCTTTCTGGAAGTCTCAAGATCCAGTGCTCCTTGCAGCAAGCCGGATAACGGCACTAAGCTTTCAGACAGCCACAAAGCATGGGCCGATCTTCTGTTTTCACACCGAGTCCTGCGTGCCCAATGGTGGGCACGGACTGTCCTGACATGCGTAGCAGGTCATGTGCTGTATCTGATTCTCAAACCATGGCAGGTGCGGACTCGGCACCTTCAAGCTCAAGGCACAATCCAGTAGGCTCTGATTGTTCAGAGCAAAGGGCTCCAAGCTCCGCAGATGGGCTGCTGCACCATCTGGGGTGAATCCAAGGCAAGTCCTTGGCTGGCACGGCACGAAGCCACGGAGGCCATGTTGCGGCAAGTACATTAACCAAACTCAAGCTTGCAATCAGAAGCTCCCGTCACTTTGTCGGTGTAACAAAAGCCAGGCCAAAAGGATTGCGCCAGATCTGTTCATCCCAGCAAAACAGTTTACCAGCACCGTACCACCTCGCGGCAGTCTCACGACACTTGGCCCTGAGCCGAGCTAACCTGACCTTCTCTTGTCCCTCCCCTCGCAGGTCTCAGCTGCCATGACATCGGTAAAGTGCGGTGCTGCTGAAGGCTCTTCCACCTGATGCAACAGCTGCATCAACGAAAGCCACCGCCCTGTGTAGATCCCGACGTGCGCATAGCCAAGTACCTGTACCTGGCAAGCTCACCCACGCTGAGCAGTAAGCAAGCGATGCGCCCCTCAGTTTGACGGTTCGGAAATCCTGCCTGGGGTCATGCCTTCCTCATCGCGCATGTCCAAATCCTTGGGTATGCTTTAGCTCTGCGTATGTATGTATATATACACACACACAGACACAGCCAACCACCCACTGCAGGTGTTTCTTGGCAACGCTCTAGGTCACTGGCTAAGTACGAGACGTCTGCTGCACGCTCTTCGAGCGTGAGGGGCACCTCGCCAAGAGAGATTTGCTGCCGGCTGCGCCGTCAGACCAAGGTCTGAGAGCTGACCGAGTGCAACTTCTGCAGCCCAGTTTCTGCTTGAGCCGCTGCGTTGCAGAGGTGCGTGAAGTGCGGCAGCCCGCTCAAGCTGCGCTTCCTTTGGGGAAATTCTGGCTCAGTTCTTCCGATGCGAGGCAGGGACCGCAGTGCAACATGGACAACTTGCAGCACGACTGGACGTTTACAAAGGGCCAGCAAAGCACTCGAAGCCACCCGACGCCCAAAACGAGAACATGTGCCAAATGTGATCTCAAGTCCTCAGTGTTGTTCCCTCTGTCCGATGTGATGAATTTTCTGAATGTCTTCTTGACAAGGATCTCGGGCACTGCCGGGAGAGATCGAAAGCTCACACAGGATCGAGTTTCTGTTCTATAGTCACCTAGTCTTTTCAGAAGTCTCGCGAACGAAATCTGAGACGAGGTCTCGGAGGTCTCGGTGAGATCCATGCAGTCCATCATTCGATTGTGAGCTGCTTGAGGCACAACGTGAAAAGAAAGACCGTCCGCTGGTCCGGGCACCATCGCCAGCAGGCAACTGAAAAGGGATTTATGAGCTTATGCCTGTACTGTAATTACTGTGGCGCTTGGCCGGCGATCTGTTTCGTGTTTCGTTGCTGCGGAAGGCCCCGTCAAAGGACTGACGTTCCGAAAAGAGGCGCCTTGATGTCTGTGGCCCAGAACGGGTGCTGCAAACGTCGCAAGCTCTGTAAACAAAAAATTAGTGGTCCGTTTGGCTGCCGTCGAGTGCCGATGCGGCGTGCGCGGCGAGTGGCCTCCTTCGCCGTTAGTGCCCCGAGCTGCTTGAAGTATACTGATTTAGAGGCTGCCCAAGCCGAAGCTGCAAGACACTGGGTATGAGCTGATCAGCTCAAGAAACAGAACGACCTAACGAAAGCTCAGAACAGTCTGAGTCTTTCAGGGACTCCCACATCATGGGTGGGTTGCCCCATGATAGTCCAAGTTGCTCCTGCCAGTGCTGCAGTCGCCGAGCGCCATCGGCATCACTCCACCTGTTGTTTGGGATTTCTTCGTGCCTTCCAGAGGCTGCCGATACACTACAGAGCTGAAGCTGAGCTTGGCGCCAAACGCATGGCGGCCAAACCGGCAAGGGGCCATCACCACGGTGGCCATGGTCCATGCGATATGGAAACGAAAACTTTCCAAATGGTCCAGACAGTTGCCTCACAAAGCCGCCTTGTTTGTCATGCCTCCACCGGGTCAGGGCCGTCGAGACAATGACGGCTACAGGAAAGGTCTTAAGCTCTGATGCCACGAAAAGTCCTTTCCCTGTGACTGGAGCTTTCACATCGGGCAGAGATGCGCTGCAACTTCAGCCCGCGCGATTTCCTCGACACATGTGATTCGAAAGATCTCGCGGGATCCGCTGATAAACTGTCGCATGGAAAAGCGGTCTTGGACTGCATGCGACTAGGCTTTGCCTGTCAGCGACATCATAGAGATCGGAGTGCGTTCAGATGCGTACAGCGCCAAACGCAAACCGGAGCTTGGATACTCGCAAGAGCGGCATCCTCGTGCTTGAAATAACAAAAGCCGAGACCTCGAGACATCACAAGACACATGTGGCCTGCGAGTACCTCCGGTCCAGCCATGGGAAAAAGCATGCAGCTTGTGCCCCACTAAGGCAGATGTATGCAGCTTGGCATGTGCAAGCACGCCATTCAATGATAGCAAAAGCACAATCCCTTGGCGAAGCTCTGTGCATGCAATTCTGCAGATCAGGGATCCTGGGCGCTTTCTGCAGGCTCCGATCTTCTGCCTGACGTCGCGCACGGCCAAGAGCTTGGGGCGTTTGACAGATTGGCGGCAGCCTCGACTAAAACACCGGTCACGCATGGGTCGGCGAGTCCATGTAGAAGGAGTCCTCAAAGAAAGCACCAAAGCCACGTGTTCTCGAAAACCCGAAAGACCTGAACTCGGTGCCACGCCTCCTGGGCAGCCGTCGGCGTTGCGAGACCCAGCCGCAGCATGGCCTCAGCACAGAAGGGCGCGGTCCTTCGGATTTTTTCTTCATTCTTGAGGCACGGACAAGCTTGTTCTTCTTCCGGCTCTTCACCTGAGAAAAAAAGACGATCGCCCTATGGCCGCTTGCCTGCTGGGCTTCTACTGGCCTCGCCAGGTGGACACATGTGGCAGTGTCGGCATTCCTCCCCGTTCAGGCACCCCGTCGGCTTCCAGAACCAGGCGCAGGGGCGGCAGTTACCTCTCAACACTCAATTCCGAGCGTCTCGGGACGCACTCTCAGCTGAGATGCGAACCGCTACCGTGGAGGTCACTTCCCTGGCTGGCCAGCTTCGTCTGCCAAGGGCGAAAAAACAAGCGCGGCCAGTGGCAAGAAGACAACCACAGACAGCCACGCATGACGCCAGCCTCGGTTGCACCTGCAAGACCGAGGCACTTTTACCCAGCATGTAGTTGCGACAAGCATACTGCAGGCCTGCGGGGAGTCCGGGTGGGAGTCCGGGTGGGAGTCCGGGTGGGAGTCGAGGGCTTGCAGATCCTTCGGAGTATTCGCGCTCCGATGTTGATGCAGCTGTAGAGCCTGACACATGCAAAGCTGCGATGGAATGTGCGCACACACACACACACAAGCACCCTCTCCCACCTTGTTCGGAAGTCTCCCAATCTGCCTGCAAATTCAGCGCTTGATGCACCAGACTCCTTACACACCAACCCTTTTCTGAGACCCGTCTCTTCAACGTATGCTGCCTTCTCCTTGGCCTTTGGCGACATGCAGAAACTGCCTGAGACGTGTGGATAAGCATGACAGCTCCTTGATGCCTGCATGGTCAATAGTTCTTGCTCTTGGGCCCTGAACTCAAGGCGAGCTGGACCGCTGCCGTTTCTTCGGCGGTGGGCTTCGGGGTCGTCAAACCTGCACAGGGTCCGACTTTCCGTGAGGTGAGACGCCATAGGCCCTCTGGGCCCCCTCGCCCAGCCGCATGAAGGCCGACCTAGGTCTCGCAACAGTGAACTACAGTAGCCAAAGCTCCTTACCTCACAGGTGCGCACCGACCAGACTGGGAGCCTTGCTTGGCTTTCTTCCTCGATTTGAGCTCATCTTTTGGGCACAAGTGGCAGTGCATGCAGTCCTTTCCTGAGCAAGGTAGGCTGCCTTCTGTAGTGGTGCCATGCTAAAAAGAAAGCCCTTTTCCGCGAAGGCTCCGTTCTGGCAAGAGCCCGGTTTCCAAAACCATGCGCAAGGTTTGCCTCGGCTCAGGTATGCCGCCACAAACTGCCCACAAGATACATCAAGATACCATGGCGTTGAAGCTGCAGGTCCCTTCCGCATGGAGCGTGGATCCGTGACTTGGGGTGTTCACCTGAGACCCAACTGCTTGCACTTGCTGCGGGAACCCGACTGCAAATGCCAATCTAAGTCGTTGACTGGCGGGTCCAATCCTGGAGCAGTGCTGCATGCTCTTGGCGAACACAGCACCGGCAAAACAGCGCTTGAAAGAGTCAATGTGACTTCGTGCCTGGCGGGAAGGAGACCCTGTTTCCTGCCCAGGTAACGACCTGGATGCGATGCGACGCCATACAAATGACGCACAAGCCAAAGGAAATGTAAATGCAGCCAAGCAGCAGATCCCGGAGTCTCGGCCGTGGCATCAAAATGGTCCGACGGCGACCCCGGCATGCCCATAGTGTCCTGACGGGGTCCCGTGATACCACGACTGAGTAGAGCTCCGACTCTTTTTTTTTTGAAGCGTCCTGAAATCGAAGGACTCTCCCCGTCTCAGGACATTGGGGCCTCAAGTGAGTGTTGTTCCGTGAAAGCAATGGGACGCGGCAAAGTGCTAATGTGAAATGACGTTCTCGGCGAGTGCATTCCGCGGGCCGGACATGGGAATGAAGACTTGCGAGGGAGGGCCACTCAGGCCTAGCAAAAAAAAACGAAAGCAGCCTTTGAAAGGCGCATCAAAAACTTGCGACCTGGCCTAGCGAGGATTGCTTCTCTTCCGCATATTGCGGCAGTGGCACCTGGCGCCAAACAGCACCCGATCAGCCTGGACAGAACTGCAGGCTGCGCCTTCATCGGCTCGTTCGAGTAGCCTGCCCAGGCCTCCAGCACTTGCCAACATACTCAAAATCCAGCACTTTCACGCAAGCACAATGTAGCAGCACAACACAGCACGCTGCATGGGCTGCGGCCATGCTTCGGGAAACTCAGAAAGTCTCAGTTGTGACATTTCAAGTAATTCCAAGCATGGAAAACTCGGGCACGTTCAGCATACGTCGCATGTCCAGATCGGACAAGTCAGAACAAATCGTCCAATGCTGGTAAAATCATTCAGATAAATCAGCACCAGAGCAACCAACCTCTGGGAGACACGGCGCCCTGAGGGAACAAGTCGTTCTGGAGAATCAGGTATATCACTCCAAGTCAGGTTGAATCAGTAAGTGTCAGGAATCAGCCTTAATCCTCATGCCTGGCACATGCGCCGAAGATATATACAAAGACTGCGCATCCACTTGCATCACAGACACTCAAGCACTCACTCTAAGCACAGATCGAAGCAGCTCATCAGTGCACAGCGAGGACCAGGTAAATGATGTCACAAGCAAATACGAGTAAGCAGGTATGTGAGCCAGGCGTCCCCAGCTCATGCCAGTGATCTGCAACAGCCTCTTGGCTGGACCAATGTTACAGACCAGGCAGTCCCCCTTCTGCAAACATCGAGCTACACTTCTGCATTTCTCTCAGAGAACGCTTGGGAACAGGGTGGGACACACACACACACACGCACACACCGCGATTGACGCTCAAGATAGCCGAAGTTGTTCATGGGCTAGCTATTTACGTTTCTGCCTTCACATCTTGTGCAACAGGTGGCTTCATCTGACTGAGGTTTTCGGGCTTGGCCTTTCTCCCTCACTCTAGCAGGTACATAGTTGAGTGTCCCCCGCTGCATCACCGGCAACTGATGGGCGTGTTTGTTAGTGCCGATCCCGTCGGTGCCCCGCAACGCGTCTTGCTTATTATTGGGATTCCATTGTCCAGGATGTCGCGCGCGCACACACAGAAACACCAAAAAGCCTCTTTCTGATTCTGCGCCATGCTTTTGCTTTATCAAGTATGTTGATTGACCCTCCTCATCTCATGGCATCTCTGAAGAAGTGTCTCTGTCCCTACGGATCAGGGGCGCTGTCCCGTGCCTTGCTCTCGTCAAGCGCAGACGGCCACAGGTTGCTGCTCACGTCCAGCGAGTTGGCGACATCGCACATCATGTCGCGCCTGGTTCAAGGATTTTTGCGGAACATGGAGCAGCAGAGCTGTAACCGCAGTTTTAGGGTTTCTTCTTGGTTCTGAAGCGTGCCGCACTCCAGTGGCAAACTCCCACAGTGTCTTGGCAGTCTGATCGCAAGCTACCTGCTCGGCGACACAATCTCACGGCGAGTTTCGACCCTAAGGACACGACTTGCACTTGGAGATGGACAGGAGGAGCCTGATCCGCTTGGGCAGAATGGCTCCAAGGCTCAGTGGATCATCACCAAGGCAAGCTACCATGCATGCATAAGGACCAGCTACGAATTGCAGACCTCTTTTGAGAAGGCAGCGCACAGCCTGCTGCAGGCACTCACTCATCTCGGCCAGCCCACTCAGGCAAGGCTGATTCATCACGCGGGGCATTTGCATCCCGTGCACGGCCTCCTTTGTGCCTTGCCCGTTGCAGGTTCGCCACACGTTGCCTCCGCCTTTCTTGAAGCGTCTCGTATGCAGCATCCACGTCCTCCTTCTTTGGCGACTCTGCCTCGCTGACTCGATGCCAGTCGCGCTTGTGCTTGGAGTACCATGTCAGCCACTGATCCTTGGCATCCTCCCAGTCCAAGCCTGTGCCAGTATTGCGCTTTCGCGTCGTTCGATACCTTGACTTCAGCTTCAAGGCCTTAGTAACGTCCATTATCCTCTTGGTTTTGAGGATTCTGGCCGGCGGCTTACCGAACACCTTGTGTTTGCCATGGCCCTTGGGTATCGGCTTCAGGCCTTCCTGGGTGACGAAAGGCATCCTGGGCCTCGGCTCCTCTGTCGAAGCCCGAGCCCGGGCCGGTCGGGCCGGCCGCTCCCGCTCCGCATCCGGGGCTCCCCTGCCGCTCTGACTGACGTCCTCCAGCTCCATGGACCACTCTCGCTCGTAGCGCTGCCGGATCTCGGACATGAGCTTCCCAGGAGTCCCTGGGCCGAGCAAAGCAGCAATGCGTCTCGCTTTTCTTGGCTTCTCTTACTACGAGTCCAGATTCCAGATGGAGTGATGGCTACTTCTCGCGCTTTCTAAAAGGGATATGACATAATTGTGAACAGCACCGAAAAAACGAGCTCAAAGCAGCAGATGCAAGCCAGCCTGTGGGGGCTGCAGGTGCCCAACGTCTGAAGCCAGCTGCATAGTCCTGGGGTGAAGCGAAGTCATCCTCGGTGTACACCTTGTCTCCCCGCGGTCTGCTCTGGTCCCGCCTCAAGCCGACCGCAGTGCCTTCGTGTGCCGGCTTGCCGTGCTCCCGCGAGGTGCTTGACGAAGGTCCGAGGCCTGGGAACCATGATGGACCTGGGGATTTGCCTGAAGGCCTTGGTGTCTCACCAGAGTTGTGGTGAAAGTCGAAGCGCCGCACCTCGGGCTTGATGTCGACGAGGTCTTCTTCACCTTCGTCATCACTGAAAGTTGACTCGTCGCCGGAAGTACTCATCTCTTGGTCTGGTAGGGACTGCCCTGCTTGAAGGTTGCCGGCCCCACACGAGCCCACTGAGAGCTGCGCAGGTGAGGCGTCCACAGCACGCAACTGCTTCAAATCGGGAAATAGGGAAGACATGAACGAGTCCACTCGCCGTGAGTCTCGGTCATCCAATGAGAAAAAAGCTTTGGAAATGCTCGGGCTCTGCTGCGAATCTTCACGAGGAGGTGCTGACGAAGCCCAGTTCCCCAAGAGATGGTGCAGGTCAGTCTCCAAGGCCTCCTCGGTCTCTGCCGTGTCTTCGTTTGGGACATCAGCCTCAGCCCGGGTCGCCTCAGCGGCCTCCGCTGCAGATGCTGCAGCCGCAGCTTTCTTCTCACTTTTCCGGCGCCGTTTCTCTCGGTTCCGTATACGTCTCTGCTCCAGTAGGTCGTAGACCTTCAGACGAATACCCTCTTTCACCATCTCCTTTGCCACTTTCATCTGGTTCAAGCTGTCGCGGAGCAAGTCCATGCCCCGTCGCTTCAATGCACTCACCGGAACAGGGTCTCCAGCCATCCTCCGGTTCTGGCCAAGATCTTCCTTCAAAATGGTCAGCCGTCTTGCGATTTCCTTGCTAGGAACTTTGTCACATTTGGTCACAATGATCTGCCATGGGACGCTGTGCCTTTCTAAGTACGCTATCATTTCGCGGTCTGCCGGTTTCACTCCCTGGCGTGCATCGATAAGCAAAAGCAAGCGCTTCAAGTTCTTGCGTGCCCTGATGTACCAGAGCATGAACTCTGTCCATTGGAGACGCTTCTCCTCGGAAGCCTCTGCATATCCATAACCCGGCAGGTCCACTAAGCATAGCTGTGCGGGGCGGCCCACCTTCCAAAAGACCAGCTCCGTGGTGCTGCCAGGGAACCTCCGAACATTGGCGCTCTCTTGGCCGCAGAGGTAATTCAAGAGCGTGGACTTGCCGCTATTCGACCGTCCACACACTGCGATCTCTGGCAGCCGTGCAAGGGGCAACTGAGACTCCTCCAGCGCTGCGGTCCAAAGCCGCATCTTCGGCTTCAGTTGGCCGATGAAGCTGGGAGCATACCGAACATATCTGTGCTCATACCAAAGCTTCTTGCGATCTTCCTGCGTCTGTACTCGGCCAATCTTGTTCTCGGCCAAATACCGCAACATGCTGTGCGAGGGCCTGGCGGCTCGCTCGCGCAGTTTTTGCACCTTTCAAATGACGCTGCCTACATCTGCCTCTTCTGCATAACTTCAAAAATCTTATGACTTCTGCCGAGAAGCCTTGGCTGGGTTGGTGCTGGGATCCTCCATGGCTCGATGCAGGGCCTGCCTTCGACGCCGGATCAAAGCGCTGGTCCAGCGAACCCCCGTGAAGGGCTCCCAAGAGCTGCGCGCGCCGCGCGCGAGCCCGGCACGCCATGGGCCAAGCATCCCCGCCCCGGCCTGCCCCTGTCTCGACTCGGGGCCTTGCCTACAAGGTCGAACCTTGTGAAACCAGACTTGATGACTGCCAGCATTGCCTCTTCGTACAAGGTCGAACCTGATTCCAAAAAAGACTCTAAGATAGTGCGCTTGCGAGCCGTCCTCACTGGACGGTCGTTTCTGCAGGGCAGGGAGCGTCCGAGCCGAAAACCAAATAATGATCTTAATGGGTATGGCTTGCTTGAAAGTACTTGTGAATCTGAATGCAAGCCCTAAGTCGAGTTGAGATGCCGGGCGGGTCAAGCTCGGTTTTCCCGTTCGCCTCCCTTTTTGCGTCTGAGGACGGCCAAAATCTGCAGAATAAGACGGTCACCACTAGCGGCGACATGCTGCTCTTGTACACGTGTCACCGGAGCTCACTTTTCGGAGGGGCGTTCATGACTTGGCAGCCTGGCCGAGGCTGTGCCTTTTCCGTGCGAAGCTTGAACAAAGGCCTTGCCTTGCCTGGCTTGCCTTCTGGTATGCATAGAGACCCGTAGCAGCCTCGGAGTCCGCAGAAACCCTCCTCTGTAAGAAGGAGAAAAATCTTGATGGAGTCTGTCTGGGTATGCTGGGTTTCCTGCATACAGAGCCGCTGCCATGTAGCAGCCTTGCCCGGCCTCTGGCTTCTTATCCTGCCGTGGTCAAGTTCCTGGGCCTCTCCCCTCTGCCCATTCTCGTTGCGGGGCCCCGGGGCCTCTGGAATTTCCATCATCGGCGACCTGTGAAGTGGCCGCACGGTGACTGCTTCCAAGGCAAGAGCTGCCAAGCTCCGCCAAGTCACCCCACGGAGCAGAGGAAGCCGAAGAAGATCAGAACGGGAACGGCCACAGCAGACAGGATCGTCTGAGCAGCCATAGGGCGAGGAGGGGGCTGTTGCGCGGAAGCAACCGAAAACAACTGCACTGAGCGCGTTGCACAAAATATGGCACAGCCGCCGGCCATCTTAATGTAGCCTGTATCACCTGGGAGGCCACTCTTTCGTGGTGGTCCATGCATTGTGAGCCACGTCGCCCCTGCATCCCCTGTTGAGAGAGCGACTTGCGGCAGAAAGCGGATGCCAAGAACCGAGCCAAACACTGCTGCTCTACAGGAAGGCACTCAAGAAGTCCAACACGTTCACTCTCAAAGCTGCTCCGATCCCAGAGAAAGGTCCCTTCTTCTCTTTGCAGATGCGCCGCACTAGCTAAAATGAGTCTTTGGCAGTTTATGTCCCTACCCTCATGACGCACTATCTGGGTCGTTCCCAGGCTTCTAGCAGTTCTTTGCCAGAAGCATTAAGGTGAGAAGAAGGCCAAGAGACTTCCTGACGTACATCATGGGTCCGCTTCGGCCGGTGAAATCTTGGAGCTGCATTCTGCAGCTGATTTGCGGTAAAAAAACTTTGTGCCAGTGCTTCGCAGCCTTGATATCGACTCAAGGTCGCTGCATCTTCGTCAGCAGCTCATGTGTCATAGTCCCGTCTGGGCGTCATACTGATCCTTAGCCCAATGCCAACGCAAGGCACACAGTACGCATATGTCATGTCCGATATCGTACGCAGTTTCCAACAGCAGGAAGGCCAGCTAGCATTGAGGACCAAAGACAACTGTAGCGCTACTTTGCAGCATGCACTCGGAGCCCTGACCAGAACCATTTCGAATACAAGGCAAGGGCCGAAATAACCTAATGGCGCTTGGCTTGCTATTTTTCAGCCCTGCTACTTTGAGGATCGTGGGCGTGGGACTGTCTGCATAGTATGAGGGGGGGGCTTGCTTTAGACAGCCTGCTCACCTCGTCCCCTGATCCCTCCAAGTCCGATTGATTCGATGATATGTTTTGTCATTTTGTCAGGCAAGCTTCTTGGGACCATAAGGCTTCAGGTCCCAAGTGTAGGATCCGGGGCCCGGCGAATTGTCGTCAGACAGTCCATGTAGTCGAGGCCCATAACCGAAGCCGTTGCTATTCAGGGCGAGCCTGGACTCCTGACAGGGACAAAATGAAACCTTGACTCACTTGACTCTATCGATGTTGCCCGGGCCTGCTCCGTCATGTATGCAGCCGGGCCTGGGCCATCCTTGAATGGAGCGAACGGAGACCTCAAGCAGTGGCCCTTGCCGCACCTCTCTTTGCTACACTGCTACACTCTACACTTTTCGCCCCAGCCTCGGAGAACCTGGCAAGCAGCAAAAGCAAACACTTTTTGGATCACGCTCCGCCCTGCGCCTCGGTAAAAAGCCGTCCCGGGGCTTCGTTGCCCAACCTATCGCATCCGAAGCGTTGACAAAAAAGGACAAATCTTTCCAAAACAATAAGCTGCGGTTGTGCGGCCTTCGGCGTGTAGGCACCAGGGCCAGGTGTTGCCTGAGGGCCAGGCATTGAAGTCCGAAATGCCGGGCACTACAGCACCTATCCGTATCCGGTCGAATGAGGGTTGAAGCCCCTGCTGGCGCACTCTCAACCGATCTGTTGCAGGCGAGCTTCGTCGCCAAGCCCAGGCAGCTTCCTTGGTCCACAGGGCCCGCATTGGTGCTCACGACAAGCGTCTCAAGAGAAGGGTGCGATTCCCAGTGCATGCTGGTAGCATGCCGGTCTTTTCGCCAATGCTTCGACGCTCCGAAGTGGCCGTTGGATTATGAGGTGTATACTGGCAGGGCCCAGGAGTGTCCTCGCCAATCCTTGGCTGCGAAAGCCCATCCAGCAAAAGGGAAAGCCCGTGATGAGGCCCCATCCTCCCAAAGCGCTTCGCCGTGCCAAACCTCAAACAAACAGCATGGCCAACGGCTGCGCAGGGCGTCGTGCACACAATCAGGAGAAACCGTGAGGAAAGGAGGATCGCGCCTGATGTGGGTCGCCCGCTTTTCGGTTGGGCACATGGGCTTGGAGACATAGTCTGTCGGCCCAGGCACAAGCTCCGCCCTGGCTCCAAACTGGCACCAAAACAGCAGCAACGGGTCAGACCGAGGGTCCAGCTGGTTCCCCATCCGGCTGCCAATCTTCAAGCTCGCTCCCCTCCTAACAGCGGCTGCGGAAGGGAACAGCCCTGAGAAATTGGGAAGAGGAGAACAGGAATATACAGGAACTCAGAGACTGAATGGGCTGAGAGCACGGGCCCGGACCAAAGGCGTGCCAAAGGATCTCCTTCCTATATCTGTAGGCGAGAAACGTACTCTGAGTCAGGAAGTGCGGGATCTCATAGTGCCCAGGCCCCGGTTGGTCCCGACGCCGCGGCATCGCTGCATGCCTGCGTAACTCTCCAAACCGCAGACTCCAAGTCACCGGGACAAGAGCGTCGCGCCTGTGGCGTGGACTGCATCCCTACAGTTTGCAAGAAGAGCCGAAACGAAGACGTGACATGTTACGAAGGTCATGGCCATGCTACGGTATGCCACTATGCTGATCGCTGACCCACCCTGGTAGTTTTTCTCTCGACAGCTGCTCTTCAGTGTCGCCATCGCCCGACGAGTCGAGACAAAAGCCTCATCTCGCAGGGTGTCCAGCTCCGGCTCGTGGGAGGCATTTCTTGGGGTTTGCTCTGCTGCCTTTCCGATGTGCCGCTGACGCCGTGCCTCAGGATCTTCATCAGTGTCACAAGCTGAAATCGCGTGGCGTGGCGAACTCCGGCAGCTTCAGCTTCAGAGGGCGAAGGCTTCCTCGAGTTGCGCGGCGGTCGCAGGGTCCACATGCTCCGGAAATTCAATCTGGAACTGAACCAACAAACGGCCAAAGGTCGACGGATCTTCGTGTACAGGCATGCCCGCCGCTTCAATTTCCAACACACTTTCAGGGTGCACGACGGCGCCCCTCGGAACAGAAATGTGTAGCACGCGGCCATCGAGGTGCACAACCTCGCGCTTGAAGCCCACGAGGGCCTCCAGCAAGGAGATAGGAAGCGGAAGCACGAGATCAGAACCCCTTCGCTTGAACACAGGGTGTTTCCGAACGTCGAGGTTAACAAGCACATCGCCAGGAACATGTCCTGGCAATTGTGCTGCCATGTACTCAAACCGCAGTCTATCTCCGCTCATTGCACCGCGCTCGATTGTCATGTTCAAGCTCATCTCTGTCTGTCTGCATCTCTCACGGCTTGGCACGAGCATTTCCTCCGTGTAATACTCCCACTGGTTGATCCAAACCTGTCGTAGGTGCACCTCATCCGGACATGCCTGGCATCGTCGGCAGCGGGGCAAACGCGGTTGGTGCCGACAGGAGAGGCAAAGGATCTGTCTGCTCAGGCCCAAGGCATAGTCACCACCTGCATATGCTTCCTCCAGGGAGATGCTGTGGGAAACCTCTAAGTTCTCAGTTGTCGGAACCTCATCAGGATGCATCTCGTACTGTCTCACCAGTTCTAGCCCTGCGCTGTCGTACCTCCGCTCTCGGGATCCCATAACACAAACTCATACAAACTCGCCACCCGCATGATGGATTTCAGGAAGCGTGCAGCTGACGGCTTGACACCACCTGCTGAAGAATGGCACTCAACCAGCTGGAAAACAGAACTGACGGTGCCAAGGCTCAATAGCAGCTTGACTGGATCATCAAGAATTTCGAAAGCATGCCGCAGGCGTTGGAATCCGGACGACTCCGCGGACTTGTCGGGATGGTGCTTCACCGAGAGCTCACGGTAGCTCCTAGCGATGGGGCGGGCTTTCAAGCAGATGCCCCAGTAACCACACATAAAGATGCTATGACCATGTGGGAGTTTGGTTGGTCATGATGGAAAGACATGACAGCGTGAAGTCAGAACGTCCTCTTCAGCCGTTGCCTGTCCACTGCTTGATCGGTACCGTCATCCTCCAAATCCAGAGCCTGCAACAGCTCGGCAACACTGCCCGCTATCGGCCGCGCCGCCTTGTTGTAACCTGCAGAGCAGCAATTTCACGGGCCAGGAGAAACAGCTAGAGTTAGCTCCAGGCAGCAGAAAGTCTTGTGCAGGTGCAGCGTCGTCTGCTCTGAGGTGAAGTGATTACATGTGATATTGAGTAGCGATCTCTGCCAGCGTAGCTACAGTGACAAAGTCAGTCAAACTCGCCAAGGTTCGCGAACTCACGAGCTGGGGAGCGGGGAATGTCGCGCGTCGTTCCTGATCGAATCCGGAGGCGGATGCGATTCCTCTGTCGCAGAGACACGGAAGGTGCTCTAGTCTGCCTGATGTTTCCGATGCCCAAGGAGTCATCGTGTAAATAAAAAGGTGCGCTGCCCGGTAGCAGCTACCGTACTACTAGTACTTTTTTGCGGATGCCTTACAACTGAAGCAACACATTCCCAGCCAAGTCCAGGAACCGGAAACAGACCACCCCTCAGCCATCTAATCTGTGGATCCTTTGCACACTTAGTAACTCAGTGTTACAGTGGAACAAGCCCTTGAGCTGAGGACGTGGTGCTATCTTTCTTCACGGCCGTGTATGTGGCCCGGTGTGGATTGGACGCGAAGCTCCGAGAGTTCCCGTGTGTAAGCCTCCATAGATTCAGGTGCTTCCGGCACAGACAGATGTTCACCCCTAGCTTCGAGTTGGGCGACTTAAACAGGGCGGATTTCAGCCACACTTTTCAGCCATGCATCTCACAGGCTTGCCTGTCGCGAAGCCTCCAGCACCAGATGGAGGGCATAACACACAGACTTGAGCTGAGCTCAGCGTCATGACTAACAACTCACAAACTTTGTCTAAGGCTCATCGCGCTGCTGGACCACACTTGCACGTTTGGTGGGTTTTGGGGCCATCACAGCCACGACATCATCTTTCTTGAGTTGGTCGCTTGTGCGCTCCGATCTCTCGGCCCTTCTGGCACCTTTGTTGGTGCACTGGGATTCTGGAAGGCTTTGGGAACGTGCGCCGCCTCGCACACAACGGGACCGATGTTTGGAGGGCGATCTGCCGAGCAGATGAAAGCATCCTGGACCCTTCATAGACCGCGAAATGTTGACCGATTTCTGGTCGGCCACGCGACTCTTGAATCTTGAACGAACGAAGGAACAGAAGCGACAAGACTGGCAAGTCCCCGCAGCAGGCGACCCGGTACTTCCGGGAGCCATGGAACTTCGCCCATCGCAAGCCCTCGAAGACGACTGCCTTCACATCCTGCGAGGTCATGCAGCGAGCGAAGCCCATCACCTCAGCAGGCCAGGCCACGAGGTTGAGAGAGACTTGGACTTGAACCAATTACGCTTAGACGAGTTGCGCCATCCACTGGGAAGGCCTTTCGTAGATTCCTAGGCGCTTGAACTTTGCGGATGTCGGCTCAATCACCCACCCATGTTTGCAAGCCTGCCTTGCATGATACGCAGCCTGTGTGCCAAAACCGAGTATCGTCACTAGTCCAAGAACATAGCACTCCAGCCCAAGCTGTTTGGACAGTCACCGCCAGAACCAGTGCAGCCAATGGAGGCATGCAAATGCGCAGTCTGCAAACCCTGAGTCCTAGAACTTCTTGGAAGATCCCGGGCGATTATGACTTGTACTGAGGTTCTGTAGCAGAGGACTACACTAGAATCCATCATTGCCGCAACTTCTGCAAAGGCATCATGCAAGACCAGGCGACAAGGGCTGCCATCCGATCCCAGGCACTCACACTGAAGCCGACTTTCCGGGCAAATGCTTTCGGCATCGTCAGGCTCAGGCACTGAAGAAATCACTTTTGCTCAGTCTTTGCAGCACTGCGCCTCTGAAAGCTGCTTCGCAGCATCAGGATAATGCAGCTTGTCTGCATGCTACACACAAAGCTGAGACTGTGCAAATGCAAGCGTGATGCATTCAAGCAAAGCTAATTCGGCGATTTGTACACCAGGCTCGGCCACCTGCGGCTAGGCCGCATGGCATGGCTGCGGACCGTGTCACTTCGGTTTGCCTCGCAGAGTCCTTGGCGCACAGAGTCCGAGGGCTCTCGAGAATTGACCTCGCGGAGTCCAGGCGAGCAGCGCGATCTTTCTCTCCACGGCTTGTACAATGACCTGCGACAGTGACGGTAAAAACTGACAGGAGCAATTAGAGATGTTTGAGGTCGGAACGCTCTGCACGAACGTCTTGAGGTCTGGACGCCGACGAAGGATGTCGGCTAGGTCCTGCGCAGATCTCATGTCTGCTGATGTGGCATGCAGGCATGCACATTCCGGCGTGTCCTTGCTCGGAATGACGTTGTTGAAGTCCTCCGAGTATGTGGGTAATGTTTGGGACTGTCGGAAGAGGCCTCGTATGGCCCAGTGATTCAAGTCGGTCCTTGTCCATCTTTCTGCGCTCGGGCGGCGCTTGCCACTTCTGTCCAGTTCACATCGGGCAGCCGCAACACCCCAGCAAACGCATGATACACAAGCCCCAAGCCTCAAAGTCAAGCCACACTCGCCATATATCCTTGGATGGGCCCCGCAGTAATTAGAGACGTGGCGACTCTTGCAGGTTGAAGAAATGCAAAATGCAGGCTCTCGTCTGCTTGCAGCTGAAGCTTCTTCCAGCGGCTCCGTCAGCAAGAATTCTCTTACGGCCTCTGCTCTGTCAGGATGTACAAGTGCACAGATAAACGCAAACACACACGTGCTTGCTTGCTTGCTTGCTTGCTTGCTTGCTGGGCGTCTGGGGTTGGGGATGCAGCCCCCCTTCCCCTGCACTAGCGCGCTACGCCATTGTTCGAATTCGGAGAGTCGGCGTGAAACTACAGGATGAGCCCCGATTCCCAGCACGCTTAAGGTCCCCTCCTGCCTTGAGGGCAAGCACACACAAACACGCACTCTCTGTCTTTCTTTCTTGCCCCAGAGCTCTTCTTCTGCACAGCCAAAGGAGAGCACGCATGCGCTCCCCTTGCGCGCGAACGCGCCCTGGTTGTTGCAGACAAACCAACAACCCCAGGGCTCTCTCTCTCTCTCTCTCTCTCTCTTCTTCCACTGGGCATAAGGGACCATGGGCCACCCATGTGTTATGGGGCTTTGAAGGGACTGTGATAAGGTCTACTCGGACGGGGCAGGACTGCACATTGTGATATTTGGTAGACTAGGAGCTGGTAGAAGCTGTCCTGGCCCCCCTCGTCGTAGTTTCAGTTCGTGGACACCCCTAGTTCAACTTGGCCCCATGTCCCCCTGTGCAAAAACAAAGACTAGAAAGGCCACGTTGCAACATCGGTGGGACAAGAGACTGTGAGGGCATGTTTCCCCCGGGTTGGTCATGGCTGGACATCCTAGCACGACTTCGTCACATGTCCCCCTACCTGCTAACAGCAAAGACTAGATAGGCCATGACGTCACCAGTCACGGGACATGTGACTTCGAGTGCATTTCCCCCCCCCCCCCCC